TGTGGCCCAATTAGTATGACTTATGGCGCCAAGGCAATCAATAGTATCAGTTTTCCTCCTCATCAGCCTGCTGTCATTGGTGACTGCCCACTGGGTCAGGGCAGGGTGACCTCAGTGGGCTAGGCAAATCCTCAAGAAGCCACGTCACGGGAGTTTCTAACGACTCATGATGCTGCTTTCCCTTTTGTTCCTGGGAACAGTGTAAATAGTGACGCTTGTAGGCGTCTCGCCACATGTTTTACTGCTGCTGAGGGGTCCTGCCTGTCCTGTCCACCCAGAGTACAGTGGTTTGTTAGCCCTCAGGCTGTGGGGAAGGGCATTGGTCTTTAGTGAAGTTGTACCACTCTGCCTTGGATCTATCTGCCCGTCGAGACTTCATACCATCCTTCTATGGGACATACACACACCCACTCTCAGCCCTACAAGAAGTCTGATGTAATAGTACCCTAGTGCTTTGCCCCACTCTTTACTGCAAGACCCAGAGGGATAAGCTCCTTTATCATTTTGTCCTTGCTCGATCTGTTTAGTGCTGGAATAGGCACAGATGCAGGTTTCCATGGCTGGTCAGCAAGTTATTTATGATTCACTTAGGCTGCTGGCAGGAGCGTGGTCAGTGTGCCAAATCTCAGCTCCTTTCATGGAGACAGGGATGACTTACACAAGTTGAACTGAAATATAGTACAACCCTTTATTCTATTATAATTTACATATTCCCATAACTCACACCTTTTCAAGTTTCATTAGAATTCCCACGTTGTTATTAAAACGTTCTGAGTTCTAACTGAATTTCCAAAAACACTCCCTCCTTTCTCAGAACTGCTTTGTATATTGCTTGGTCTTTTATTATGGAACTACCTGTGGAGAATAGAAGTCCCTACTTAGAAAAAAATAATTTTTAGCATTTTTCTTAGAGGGGTTAAAGTCCACTAGTGAACTCTTAGAAGTTCTTATGTGAGGAATTATTAAATGCATAGAGGGTTTAGTTCTAATGAAGGAAGTAGCTATGATAATGCACATGTTGGGAGGCTCTGATTGCTTGGGGATAAGGCAGAATTTGTGATCATTCTTACTAAGATCCAGCAGTATTTTTCAAATTGTTGCCAGTGTTGCTGAAGTACAGTAAGAATTGTACCTGCAAGTATATTACTTTCCTGATACTGGCATCATTCCCCTCTTGCCCCTAAAAAATGGCTAATAGAATTGTGCCTTCCAATGGGGCCAAGCCCAGCCAAGTAGTCTTTTTCTGAAAACATATATGGTCCTCAGCAATCAGTTGTATCACCAGTGATATGGCAGGAAGGGAAGATCAGGAGGCCAAGAAAGAATTTCTTACTTTAGGAAAAAAAAATATTAGAGTCAGGAACTACTGAGGCTCAGCCTTTATCTATGATCTTTTCTTTTTTTAAAACTAGATGAAGGATAGTATCTAATGGTCATACACTGCTTTTAGCAATAAGAAGAGGTAAGGCAGGCTAAAGAGAAGCACAGTTCAAATATCCTGTTTTACTAATGTTAACCACATCTCCAGTTCTGCAAGTTCCTAAAATGGATTCATTTCTGTGTCCTAGGCAGTGTTGCTTAAAGTGTGGTCCATGGATTGGTGGCATCAATATCACCTGGGGATCTATTAAAAATACACATTTTCCAGCCCCTCTTGAACCTACCCACTCACCAGTCTCTAGGGTTGGCTTCAGGAATCTATTTTAACAAGCTGTCCAAGAGATTCTTAGACATGTTAGGGTTTGAGTAACACTATTGAAGGGCACCATATCCCAAAGTATGTGTTGTTGTTGTTTGTGGTGGTGGTGGTGTGTGTGTTTGTGTGTGTATGTGTATGTTTTTAAATAGACGTCATGCTAAAAATGTTTCCAATCCTGGTCATATGGATTTTGAAAATGCTGGGTTAAATAAAGCTAAGCCTTTTTTGTTTGTTTTGTTAGGGGGAAGAGTACTACTGGTTTTCTTAGAGTTTTTAATATGTTACTTTACTGCTCAAAATCCTCTGTTGGATTCCAAAATTACTGAAAGTAAAATGTAAACTTCTTATAATAACCTATGAGACCTTGCATATCTTCACTTCCATTGACTCCTGATCACATCTTCTATCTTTGTAGCTTTTGCTTATTACAATCCAGGTACAGTGATCTCATAGCCAAAAGCAGACTGGGACCTTGAGGCCTTTGCACTGGCTGTTTCCATTGCCTGGAAATCTCAGGTCTGTGCTCAAGTGTGTCTTCTTCAGAGAGGCCCTCCCATATCATCCTGTATAAATTGCAGCTCCTATCACTTCCCTCTAGGCCCTTTCTCTGATTTATTTTTCTTCATGGCCCCCATTACTTTTGACATTTACAGTGTGATTGTTGATTGGTTTATTGTTTGTCTCCTCCGCTAGAATGTGAGCTCCATCAGTAGTTTGTTCCTTGGTGATTCTTCAGTTTCTAGAGTAGCACCTGGCACATAGGGTACTAGGTAAATATTTATTGATGAATTGAATGAACAAATGCACCTAGAGGGGAAATGGATGCTGACAGACTTCACCTAATTATAGAATAGAAGGTAGCAATGGTGGGACCAATGGTAGCTCCCAAGGAGAATGTTTGAGCCTCACAGAAAGGAAGATAGAGAGGACCCTTGCCTGGCTTGGACCTTCAGGGTCTTAGGAATTATGTCCTATTTTGATTGATGCCAAATCGTTAATTGTTCCCACCAAGGCAATTGAGGCATGGTGAAATGAATTTCATCTAATTTTGCTATAATCAATGAGGACAGAATGTTGTTAGTTCTCCAATAAAGTGTTTTCCGTAGTCCTTTTCCCTGTCAGTTATCTATAACATGGAAATCATTTGTTTTCATGGCTTCAACAGTTGTTAATAAAAGTAGACAAATTTCTGTGTTTAGTACCCAGCTTCTTCTCCTGCATTTCTGCTGCCAATAGGACATTTCCATTTAGATGTAGACTTAATATCTTCAGATTAAGCATATTCATAGCTAACAGTATCACTTTCTTCCCCACACTATTTTCCCTCTGCTTTCAGTACTTCTGGTAAGGACAGCAGTATCTTACCGGTCATGGAGTCTGCAAACAGGCCTCCCTGGGTTCCTCCTCTCCTTATTAAAATAGTTGTTTACTCCTGCTGATCACTCCCAGTGTTTCTTATATCTGTATTTGTCTCTTTTTCTTTTCTCATTCTTTTTTGGCTCCTAACCTAATACCGGGATATTATAATGCTCACACTCAAAGTTTTTGACCCTGGCTTTTAACTCATTTGAAAGAGTCCTCAGCCTGATTTCCCCAGATCCAGCCTGCTTAACCCTTCTTTATTCAGCTCTGTGTCCCACCATTTCCTCATTTTTCTGATTAAGCCAAACTGTACCACTTCTTCTTTTCCTGAGTCTTTCCAAATTCTTCTGGTTATCATATCTTTGACAACAAGAAGCTTTTTTTTCTTTTATCCTTGTTTATTAACATCCTGTCTGTTCTTTAACACCCAGGTCAGATATTGTCTCCTACATGCTGGCTTTCTGATATATTTATTGAGGAAATGCGCTTTCTTGTTTTTTGTCACTGTCACTTAATATTTATGACTTATGGCACATTCTACCTCATTTTATAGACCTTTATACTCTTATTTTACTCCCAACCCTGTACTGAGAGTCCCCAGAGGACAGAGGCTTTGTCTTACTCATCTCTTAATCTCCATAGTAGGTTCCCAATGGATCTTTGTTGACTTGAGTTGAAATACTTTGTCGCAACCACAATAACAGTAGTAATAATAGCAATGTTATTTTACCAGAGACTAATAATGGCCTTTGGCTGAGGAACTCATTGAGTGGTCACTTTCTCATTCAGGCCTCTTGGGAGTGGGAAGGACAATGTTGTTAATCATGTGACACAGAAAAGGTGAGGGAAGGTTAAGTGATTGCCAGTGTCACACAACAGGGGACCGAGGATTCTCAAGTCCCAGTTCTCTAGTCTGATTCAAGCTTTTTCTAAGGACGCGCTCTCCTTTGTGAAATAACCATTGCTGTTCATCAGCTTTGGGGCATGTGAACTGCTTGGAGCAAGGGAAACTGAGAGGCTTAAGCAATTCATCCTTGAGGGATAAATTCAGAGTTAGATGCCCATGTCTCAGATTGAGACATCAGATGGTTGCCTTGTCTGCTTCTAAATCTGCTGGCAGAGAGCAAATCCAAAGAGGGTCTGCCATCACTCTGCCCACCCACTCACTCAGTCTCCTACATGTCATACAAGTCATACAATTCATTGGAACGAAGGGAGCTCTTGCTAATTGCCTCTTATTGGCCTGTTACTGGATGAAACTGGGAAGGGACACAAAGCCTCCCTATTCACATTTTCAGTGGGCAGCAGGGGTCTCTGCACAAATAGAGAAATGGCGCCCAGGCTATTCATTTCTGAAAGTCAGGACAAGATCTTCCACCATTCAGAATCCTACATTCTAATCACAATATTTCATTCCAGGAGGGACAGCCTGTCCATTTCTCAAAGCCTCTTTCAGAAATTTAGAGTCTATTTAATAAATCAGCACTACTTAAAGTTATAGACCTTTTCCCCTGCTCCAAAGTGATATACACTGTACATTCTAATTTCATTATTTTTTCCCAGTTGGGGGTGGGGATGGAGAAGGGAGAAAGAGAGAGAGAGAAAATGAGAGAAGGGGCAGTGCTTTTCATGAAAACATCAGTTCTTGTACTAAGAAAGCAAAGGGGAGGTGAGAAGTCCAGCCTGATAACTGAACTTTCTGTTTAGAATTCCTTCCTCTCCATTGGGCCTTAGCTAGGTTTCAATAATTATTGCTTCAGCACATAGTCTTGGAGCTTTGCTTTTTCTCAGACTCATACACAGTTCTAGGAAGGGTTGTTGCCAAAGCCATCATGTGATTTATTGACCCTCCACTGGGACAAGGGGGAACAGATATAACTTTGTGATTTTATTATAAGGAGGCTGGGTTAATATTTCTAGGTGAAACAAGCTACTATACCAAGTTCAAACATCTGAAGAGGGAGGTTAAGAAACCCTGAGTGTGGGGTGTAAGGATTATTCTGTCCTGGGGCTGTACAGACGTCGTCTGAGGCAGGGAGCAGGAGAAGAAAGGACACATTGTGACCCATTTCCAACACCTCCTGTGTGTAGAGGCGGAAGTTCCTTGCCTGCAGAGGGACACGCGCGGAGGAAAAATAGGAGAGTTACAACATGGTACTTACATAAACAACACCAAACTGGCATAAAACATCTAACAAAATTACACGACTTCAAGCTTGGAATTTTTATACAACATAAATATTAGGGTTCAGCCCATTTAATAATGCTATATAAAATCAAGATTTAAGGCAGTCATGTTCCACATAAACTCTGAAAACAACATTTATGCTTCTTATAAAAGTAGAAAATGATTGCATTCTGTGGACTTTTCAAAATGATGAATATAATTACATGAAGCAACAAAAATGGATTGAATTAAAAATCCACTAGTTTCAATTTAAGTTGTTTAAGGGGGAAAAATGTAGTTTCTGGCCAAGGACTGAGAAAATTTTACAAGTATCAGAAAAAAAAAGTTGTATGCACTGTTAGGCAGTTAGGCAGCCTTCTCCCAACATATACATGTAGCCTAAGAGTCACCAATGAAATATGAGCTGCTTCAAACCTGCTAAGTCCAAGAAACCCTTTAATAGTATCTACTGTCACAAGTAGAGCTGGTATTTTTTTTTTTTTCCTTTTCATGAGCTTAGGCCACCCCTGGAATAATCCATTTGCTCCTTTAGTGTCTTTATGGCATTTTGTGCAATCTAGTTATCAGTATTGACTGTTTCGAACTATCTTTCAGTATTGACCTACAATAGTAGTGGTACTCCAATATAAGGACACTCTTGAAATAGCTAAGTAAACTGCCCCCTCCCCTGCTTCATGGGTCAGAACCAATTCATGTTTTAAAGACAGCCAGTCACCCCTGTAATGGTCTTACTATTTACAGGCTGAACTTGGTTCACTCTGTGTGTTTGTGTGTGTGTGTATGTGTGTGTGTGTGTTGGGAGGAGTGCAGGAATGGTGAACATAGGCCAAAACAAAATAAACCCAGAATCCAACCAAATGCTACATAATGTTAGCCTACTTATATTAGAGCCCAACAAGCATTTACTATTCTCTTCTGTGCCAACAGTTTGTCTTGAAGTTGCTTATTAGTGGAGGTTAGAATTGCACATTTTGATTCACATAAGAACAATTTAAACAGCAAATTCTTCTGCTCTTAGAAAAAAATCATTTGTATATTCAACTCCACACTTTTTATCTCTGCATTCTTTGCTTCATGCTGTCCTGAAGCTGAGCCTTAATGTCCTGCAAGGTAGTCTAACCAATGATTTTTCCTTGTTTGACCAGGCTATTGTACTGTGGGGTCCAGAAAACTTTGGAAAAAGTTGACACCAAGAGGATCTAGAGAAATGAAGCATAAATGTAGGCTGTGTCTACCTATAGGAATCAAATTCAAAACATGCAAAGTGATATTTAAATAAATGAAAATAAGCATATATTTACACACACACGCACACACACACACACCCCCCTCTGAGTAAGTTTTATGCTACAATGCAGTTTCCATGAGCCATAAAAACAAGATAAAAGTGGTAAAAAGTCTAATACCTGGTGTAGAGGTATATTGATCTGTTTAAGGAGAGCTTTCACTGCCATCTGGAGCTCGTAGAAGAACAATTGCATGGGGCAGTCAGAAGTATGATCCACACTTTCCATAGCTTCAGAGCCAGAAAGCTTTTGGATCCATTCCCACTCCTCTCTGTATGTTGAGTCAAGTTAAAATTAGAAATATAACAAAAGTTCAGAACACTGCTCAGAACTTTCTTAGTATACATGTCCAGAACCTGGATATTCTTAGTGGTTAAAACTCAGTACAATTCATGAAATTTAAACCTTTTGCCTCTCAAATGCAGTTTAAAATGAGCTATTTCACCTATCGAAACAGAACAGAACAGGAGGTCTGATTTCTATGAATCAGTTTTTGATACTGTATCATTCAAATATTTTGTAATAATTTCATGACTATCTTCATTTTTCTTTTCCTGCTGATCCTCTGTGAGTTCTGAAACTCTACATTTTATCATAGGGGCATCTGCTGGTTAATTCTGCAGTTGGGTAACCACAGGACTGTGGTCCAACTCAGACAACAAACCACATGGCACATTTCAACCCTGGCCTGTTGTAATCATGGGGACTATTTTGGTTTCGATACTTTTTTCAAAAGTTTGAGGAGAATCACAAACAGGAACATCAGACAATTCCAATAAAAGGAATCAGGGAACACACATCACTGCTCTCATCCTCCTTGCAAACTGGTCATCTATATGTTCTATGGTCCTCTCTAGTGAACTTTTCCAAATACCAATCTGAAGGGGAGAAAAGGGTGGTGGGAAGAAGGCAGATCTCTTGGTTGCCCACAGGCTGCTCTTCCAAAAGAGGTAGAAAAGATCAAGGTAAATGCCTTGTGGGCAACGTTGTTTCCACAGGTATTTCAAAAACAAGTCTCAGAACTTGGCCCAGTTCTCCTTTGAACTCTGCAAAGAATAGTAATAGGCCCTCGAGAACAGGCTAGAGAGGATAGGAAAGCTCTCCTCTTTGGGAATTGAAAGTGAGAAGGTGCTGACATATATTCCCACCCTTGTGAAAACCTTCTGAGGGCTTTCCTCAAAAGGATTATACCAGCCTGGGCTCCAGCCTGTGGGTTAGAACACCAAATTGATTGTGGCATGAGCTTTTCTTAAAAAAAAAAAAAAAAGTCTCCTTTAACTACCCTCTTAAAAAAGTTTCTGTTTTCAAGATACCTGTTTCATTTCAAGCGTCACACTGGAGAAGACTGTGGAAAATATATCCTTTGTCCCAATAAGAAATTTAAAAAAGGACAAAATTAAATCCTACTTCAATTTGGGTGTACTGTTGGTTTCACAAATAATAGAAATCTTTGAGAACTTATTTGGAAATTATTTCTTTTTCCCCATCATTGATACTGAACTAAATGAGAGGTTTATAACTAGCATCAGCATACACAAAGCCTGAAAGCTCACATTGCTAACACAAGGTCTGTAATCAAATTAGAAAGTAACTTACCAGTGGGAATACCATAAAACACCTCCCACTAATCAATCAGTTTAGGCTATGAAGATGGGGGAGTTGGAATTGGCAGAGTGAATGCTATGGGGGGTCTCTTGGATCCTTGGAAAAGGGATAATTAGTTGCTATAACCATAAAAGATAGAGTCTAAGTCCTTAAAGTACAAAAGTTGCCAAGTCAACCAACAAATGAGCCATGCAACCTTTTGGGAAGAACTCAGGTCTAACGAATGTTGATTGTAGAAATGACCACCAGATGGCAGACTTAAAGTCCAGCTGTTATTGATAACTGAAAGCCAAGAATAGGGTACTACTCAGTGAGTTCTTCAAAGAGACCATCTTCATCTTCATCATCTCCTTCATCCTCATTGAGTAATACCTACCTAATAAACTTTGCAAAACATTTTACTTAATAAAGTATTGCTTGTTTAGGGGCCAAATTTTAAATGACCAAATTAGAATCCAGCTGTGGATAAGCAAATGCATGAGTGTTAACTAGAATTTGAGGATCTAGTTTGTACTCTTTGAAGTCTTAAGAATTATGGAGATTATTATTTCATTTTCCTAGCTATTTGTTTCTTTCCCATTTCCTTTCTTTTTTCCTCCATGTTGAGCACAATTTTCCCCATGTTGAGAACAATTATTGTTCTTTTTTGTAGAGATATTTTATTTATTGCAAAAATTGACTAAATTTGATATTCTGTTTGTTTTTGAAATACATCTACATATCAAGAAATGCACATAAATGTACAGCTAAATGAATTTCTTGTCCTCTCAGCACACTGATTCAGTTTAGTACTGTGGACTTTCAGAGGCATGCTATGAAGGTTAGTTGTAAAGTTGAGCTGGATTACCAAGATTGGGTAACTTTCCCAAAGCCAACAGGGTAATTCACCAAATGCCAAAACACAGAGAAAATTTCTAGAATCTCAGCCCTTGTTACTTTTCTTCCCTAGAGAATCATGAGGAGTACAGGAAACACACAAAGTCCCTAGGCTAGAGGGTGAAGGAGGTAAGAGAGTCCTTTTAGACCATGGAGGAATCAGTAGCTCTATTAGAATTCATTTGCACAGATGATACTTAAAAAGAACATTTTTGACTATGAAGAAAAAAATTTGAAGTAGCATTGTTGAAAGAAAAGGTCATGTGCTCATGAACCAGTTGAGCACCAGTGGTTGCATCATGAATAATGCAGAAAGGAAAGTGAAAGTATAGTTCATCCATTTAATGGGCTCATTCCTCCTACCAAATTATACTGCAAACCTTCCTAATCCTAGCGTTAAAACTCAACTCTGTATTTCAGGCATGGAAAGCCAAGACACTCTGGCAAAAAGATCTCTGTGAGTGAGATCCCAGTGGAAAGAACAGGTCTTCAAAGAGGGAGGTGCCTTTCTCTGAAGGGAGGAGAGAACCTCCACTTTGACTATGACCGTGTCTAAACAAGATAAGAGTCGGAGAACTCAAGGGGCTTCCATAGCCTTGGAAACTCATAACTGGTGCATAGGGAGATTACTGATGCCATAAACAGGAGTGTCAATTGGTAAAGTCAACAACAGGAGTCACTGTGCACTTACTCCTCATGTAGGATCTCTGTCCTTAACGTGCTGTACACTGAGGCTTAATGCTATAACGAGTACTCAAACAGTATATTTCACTTTGTGTTTCTATGGGGGTGCAAACGACTGAAATCTTTACTTAATGTACACTAAACTGATCTTCTGTAAAAAAAAAAAAAAAGAAAGAAAGAAATTATCAATTCCCAACTTGACTCTCACTGGGATTAAACATGACAATAGGTCTGCTCTGATTTCATCATCATTTAAAAAAAATCATCTATTATTTTTCACTTTATGTTTTTGTGTGGGAGCAAACTGTTGAAATACTTACTTAAGGTATACTAAGCTGATCTTCTGTATATTAAGATAATCGAAAATGAATCTTGATGTGAATGGAAGGGGAGAGGGAGTGGGAAAGGGGAGGGTTGTGGGTGGGAGGGACGGTATGGGGGGGGAAGCCATTGTAACCCATGAGTCGTACTTTGGAAATTTATATTCATTAAATAAAAGATTAAAAAAAAAAAACTCAACTCTGCTGCTGCTCTAGCCTGTGTGAGAGACATCTCACCACAGAAACTGCACTGAGAAGTAACACTTCATGTCTATCCTGGCATATCAGATGGGCCCCTCAAGCTGTAGTCTCAGCCCATGGTAAACCCCAACTCCTGACCACTTACTTGGAGATGTTATTGTTTTCACGGATCTTCACGTGACAGAGAATGTTGGGTAACTTTTGGGTGACGAGAACTTTGATCTGATCCACAGAGCTGCATAGCTTTAGGTAACCCAGATATAATCCAGGGGAGAGACGCTGATGACTCCTTTTGTGATAGAAGAGAATATCCTGTAGGTTGAAAATTAAAAAAAAAAAAAGCCTCAAAAGATGATCACAGAGGTTTTTCCTCTATAATGTGGGCCTGTTGTGAATGAAAGGAGCTGTGGCTAACTAAGTATGTGGGAAACCTCAGGTACCACCGTGAGTGTTGGGGAAGTGTTGGTGGTGCAGCTGTTCTTACCTTCAGGAGAATTCCCCTCCAAGTGAGGGAATCAGTCATTAATATATTCAGTGTGCTTATTTTCCCTAGATTTCTGTGCCAGGGGGTGAATGTGTGGGTTTTGTGATTAGGAAGAAGCTGGTTGTGGTGGAGGCAGGTAATAAAGAAAAAATAAAATCCATAATTTCTGTCCTTGGAGGGCTTAACAGTTTTGCTGGGAGAAAACTGACATCTGCAAGTGTAAAAGCTGACAAAGCAGGTACAGAAAGTTTCATAATTTCAGGATAATTCAAATGGAAAAATAAATTTTAAATGAAACAATTTAAAAGAGTCAAATTTATAGCAAGTAGGAAAAAGGTTTGATTCTTTATCTTTAAAACTGAAACAAAAAGTAATGCCAAGTTGTATACTCTATTTCATATTATTAACACTTAAGTTGTAGTTATAATTATGTATTAATTATGAAAATGAGTCAAGCTTAATTGTTTTTTCAACTTTAATTATTACTTGTTTTTTTTTTTTTTTTTAGATTTATTTTATTTATTTGAAAGGCAGAGTGACAGAGATCTTACATGTATTGGTTCATTCCCCATATGGCAGAGATGGTTTGGGCCAGGCCAGGTCGAAGCCAGGAGCCATGAACTCCATCCAGGTCTCCAAGGTAGGTGGCAGGGGCCCAAATACTTGGGCCACCTTCCACTGCCTTCCCAGGTATGTTAGAAGGATACTACATTGGAAGTAGAGTAGCTGATACTTGAAATGGTACCCCAAAATGGGACGGTGGCATTGCAGGTGGTGGCTTAACCCATTGTGCCTTAAATATTTATATTTATTAATTTATTATTTTCAGAATACATTTAAAAATTTTTGTTTAAATTATTTGAAAAGGTGAGAGAGAGACTGAGATATTGAGAGATTGAGAGAAAGAAAAGCAAAGATCTTTCATCCATTGGTTCAGTCCTCAAAGGCACACAACAGCTGGGGCTGAGCCAAGCCAAAGACAGGAACTGAAAACTCAATCCAGGTCTCCTGTGTGGGTGGCAGGGATCCAACTACTTGAGCCTGCTGCCTCCCTGGGTCTGCATTACCAGGGATCTGGTTAAACTCAGGCACTCTGATATGGGATGCATGCATCCCAAGTGATGTCTTCACTGCTGTACCAAATACCTACTCCTCAGCTCATTTTGTTAGATTGAGTTGTATGATAACCAAAATGACACTCTTATTTGATTTTCATGATGTAATTATAAAGAGTATAATTTTTGCAAAAGCAATTGATGATTTTATGTATTTTTTCCTGGCATCTTAAAATTTTGATACTCAAGTTTTATTCATATAGCATCCTTCAACTGTTTACTGGTCTACTGCTTCTCAATTCTATGGCTTTGCTTGTGATTAGATTAGATTTCCAATTCATCAGCTCTACAAATCTGTTGCTTTCACAAGACTGTATTTTGCTTTATACTAGATTTGCATTAAATTTGCATTATTTTGTTAGTCTACAGTATTCCATAAGCAGTAGAGACTGAACAGGGTAGTTGCTTTAATAGCAAGTACTGGGCTGCTGATGTGGCTCAATTGGCTAAGTCTCTGCATGTGGCACCAAAATCCCATTTGGATGCTGGTTTATGTCCTAGCTGCTGGTTTATGTCCTACCTGCTCCTTTTCTGATCCAGCTCTCTGCTATGGCCTGGGAAAGCAGTGGAGGATGGCCTAAGTCCTTGGGCCCCTGCATCCACGTTGGGGACCCAGAGGAAGCTCTTGGCTTTGGTTTGGCCCAGCTCCAGCCACTGCAGCCATTTGGGGAGTGAATCAGTGGATGGAAGATTTTTATCTCTGTCTTTCCCTCCCTCCCTCTCTCTCTCTCTCTCTCTCTCTCTGCCTCTGCCTCTCAAATAAATAAATTAAATTTTTTTAAAAAATTGAAAGTCCCAACACGGTTATGCACAGAGGGATGTTTGAATGGAACCTTGTTTTAAATACAATCAGTTATCCAGTGCATTATTTATGACTTTTTCTTCTCTATACAATTGTAGGCACTAAGATGATTAATACTTAGATAATGCAGACATTCTTTTCCTTCCCCCATATCAGTAGGTAAGAGTTTTAAAAATTTGGGCAGCTGAATGTGGGACACAAAGTTAGGAGGGACAAGTTAGGTTACTGATTGTCAGAGAAGGTTTCCTACAAGCTAGAATTTAGCCTGATTTTCAAAAAAGGTCAACTTAAAATGTCTCATCAAACACAAAAAATGGTGATACTAGATTTAATATTCATGCATATATAATTTATATACCCCATATATATTTATAATTATGGCTTATCAATTAAAACAATATTAATAAACATAAATACATAATATAAATATATTTTTAAAGGTGGAATTTGGGGAACCAACTCTACCACTAAATGCAGAGAAAGCAAGAAGGAAAACAAAAGTGACCATTTCAAACCTTTCAACTTCTATAGAGTTTGATTTGGAACCGAAAGTTACAGGGCCTTCCTGGACCACTGCACTCAGAAGGAATGAGCCTTGCTCTGTAGAATTAACCATTTGCAACACATGCATACATTGTTGTGTATGGTCTCCTTTGTCCTATCATTTATCAACAAATATTGAGTTCTGTGGTGTGTCAGGTACCATGGGAGACATCAGGGTTTCAGTTGAATATAATGTGGTCTCTACTCTTGAGGAAGTTCAGAAAGACAGATGATCACAATATCCTAATATCCTGAAATCAACTTTTCTGATAGAGGTAGTGTGGGCATAAAGGAGAAGTGCTTAAATTTATGTATATATATATATATTTCTTTTTTAAAAAAAGATTTATTTATTTATTTGAAAGACTTACACAGAGAGGAGAGGCAGAGAGAGAAGATAGAGGAGAGAGAGGGAGAGAGACCTCCATCTGCTGGTTTACTTCCCACTGGCCACAATGGTCAGAGCTGTGCTGATCTGGAGCCAGGAGCTTCCTATGTCTTCTCACATGGGTGCAAAGGCCCAAGGACTTGGGCCATCTTCTACTGCTTTACCAGTCCATAGCAGAGAGCTGGATTGGAAGTGGAGCAGCTGGGACTCGAATTGGCACCCATATGGGATGCCGGCACCGTAGGCAGTGGCTTTACCTATTATGCCATGGTGCTGGCCCCTATATATTTCTTGAACTAGAATATGAAGTAAATGGAAGGGCTGTATTGCGTCATTGCTTTGTGTTCTGAGCACCCAGTACTATTTCTGTTTAAAATTTCTACACCACATGTAGAAATCAAGCCAGGTCCTTAAAACAACATAAGGGAATAGCAAAACAGGGACAAAATAGAATGCTCACCAACTGGGTGATATAACTAACATGTACAGAGAAGCAAGCCTAATCAACTTTACCCAGTCAGCAAAAAAGAAAAAGCATTTGACTTCATGATCTAAAGAAAGGATTCTTATTAATATATCAGAAGGTGAATAAAGTTGAATTTGCAAAAGGTATCCTATTATATCTGTGCAGAATAGAGAAAATAGTTGGAAGAAGTTCAGTCAAGGTAGACTTTGGGACCATGAATGACTAATGAAAGGGAGTGAAATGTTTAATGAGAGAAAGAAAAACTATCAGCATTTGATGACGTGCACCCTAGGGGTACTTACTGAACAAGCAGATGTGGCTACAGACCCATGGGTCATTATTTTTCAGAGGACATTGAGAACAAGAAAGTCCCCGAAGACTGGAAGAGGACAAATATGCCTGTCTTTGAAACGGAACAGGGAGAAACACAGGATGACTCCAGTAGTTAAGGACCTGCAAGTTATTGATCTTTGAGGAAAATGAATTCATCAAACAATCAAATTATAATTCATCCAGGAAAATCTGAGGCTCTAAATTGGGGTCAGCTTGGCTTTGTAAGAGGAAAATCGTACAGACAGCTTTAATTTCTAATAGCAATAGAAGAGGATTGACGGACCAGGGCAAAGTCTCCAGTGTAATATCTCATTAACTAAACTGGGAAAAATAGATCCTTGAACACATTACTTTAACAAGCTAAATATCTGGATTAAAGATTTGTAGATGGTGGCGATGATGTGGGAATAGTAACCATATTGAGTGGTGACCCAGAAGGGGCTAGTCCTCAAGTCCAGACTGTTCAGCTTATTTATTGACATTCCAGACAAATCAAGAGTGTGTGTATCAAATTTGTGGGTCCCAAATTTTGTGTGGTTTTGATTTTCTGGAAAATAGTAATAAAGCTATGAATGACTTGATGCATTGAAAAATAAACCCATCATAATTAGGGTTGAAATTTAATAAAAATATGTTTTTGTCAAGATCAAAATCCAAAAGTATGAATATAGGATGGGTAAAAGAGTAAGAAAAACCTGTGAGTGTCAGAACAACCACAAATAGGATATAAGTTAGGAATATATTATGGTTATATGAAAACCAAACCATTCTGGGATGGAGGAATTTACTCTTTCATTCAATATTTTAAAAGACTACTAGTGGGCATATATGATGTGTTTTCTTGCCTTTACACAGTCATTTACCAGAGTGTTTTTGGAGCCTAAGAAATGCATGGGAAGATAAAGAAGGTGTCTCAATCACATAGTCTAAGGTAACTAGAAAGGCCTTCTAAAACCAGTTTGAATGTGATAGGTCTGAACCTCCTGATTTGACCTCTAACTTACATGTCTGTCCTTGGATCTAGCCAAAATGGATTTCTTTTTTCTTTCTCCATACCTGTCCAACCTCTCTTTTTTTGATTTTTGGTTTGTGAATTCACTCATTCTACCATATTTTATTCAGCATCTATTATTTGAAAGGCACTATGACAGGATATTAATGACACCCAGGTGTCCAGCAAAGACCCTTCCCTTCATGGAACTCAAAGTGTGTGAGGGACATATGTGGTAAGAGTTTTTGTAACCCAGGTAATAAAGGCCATAAGAAGATTGTGAAAGATCCACTGCGCATCCAGGGAGGCAGTGGTCTCCTTTTCTGGCTTCTGCCTCATTTCTTTATCTCACCCTCCACAAAATTTAATTCCATCTATTTAATCATTCTCTCCCTCCAGCTTTCTCTCTCTCCTTCCCTCTCTCCTTCCTCTCTCTGTTTCTCCCTTTTGGCTACCTGATACACTTAACTCAAGACTCAGCCAAATGCCACCTCTTCTGTAGCACCTTTCCTGATGTTTCCAGTCAGAATTAATAGCTACTTTGTCTATTTTCCCATAGTACACTATTTGTACTGCTATCAAGCTCTGCCTTAATTCTGCCTTGTATTACCTTGATTTGTTTACAAGTCTGTCTCTCTCCCTTGACTGAACTCGTTGAGAGCAGAGACCTTGACTTACTCATTTGTTTTTCCTATAGCACCCAGAAGAGTGCCTGGCACCTAGCTGGTGTTGAAAAAAATGTTTATTAAACATGAAGGGAGAGGCCCAGAGGTGGTGGGGTGTGGGGCTAGGCCTCTGGGAGAGAAGTGAGTATGCTAGAGTAGTGACTAGGGAGAGCATATCCAACCTTTCTTTAGTGGCCAGATGTGCTGTGAGCTTTTTGGAGGCACAGTAGATGGTTGCTTTTCCAGCGACTTCAGGGCTATTACTCTGTTGGATAGGGTATGTCTGTTGAATTGACCAGGATGGCAGAGGTTACAGAATAGTGGCCGGTGGTCTTTGTGGGCCTAAATTTATATGCATGACAAAGAATTTACATTTTCTGAATGTTCTAACTTTTAGAAAGAAGGAGATTTTACTGTAAACTCTGGGTTTCTAACTTCTCTTTGAAAAGTGGAGAATATTTCTGTGAACACGTTCTTAACACTGTAATCAGCTGAGGCTGAATACAGGCTGCTGTCTTCAGATGGTATGAGCAGTCTCAAGAAATGTTGTCCCCATTACTTATAACTGTTTCTTAAATTGAGATATAACTTGTATACTAAAAGTGTGCAGTTCAGTGGGTTTTGTACATTCACAAAGTATTGCAACTATTACCACTATCTAACTACTATTTTATCACTCTTGGAAGGAACCTCAAATTCATTACCCATCATTCCCTAACCTCTCCTTCCCTTGTCCCTGGAAACACTAAACTCCTTTTTTCTCTATGATTTTCCTATGTTGGACATATCATATAAGTGGAATCATAGAACCTGTGGCATTTTGTGCCTGGATTCCTTCTCTTGGCAGAATATTTTCAGAGTTTAACAATATCATAGTGTGAGTCATAGTTCACTTATTTTTATGACTGGATAATCTGTCATACAGATATACAACATTTTGTGTATGTATTCATCAGCTGTTAGACATTTAGGTTGTTTATACTCTTTAGTTATTATGAATAATGTTTAAATGACCATTTTTTATAAGTTTTTGTGTGAACTCAGGTGTTTCTTAAGTGCATCACAATTGACTGATTTCCACTAATCTTTCTGACTCGTATACATGTTGATTCATTCTAGAAGCAGCATGAGAGAAGAATGAGTAGGAATGTTTTGGGGAAAAATGAGAAAAATGCAGACATGATAGTAGGTCACAGGCACATAGTGTGTAAAAAGATGACACTGGGCACCTGGGGGTAACAAGGAATGGCTAAGGAGTGAAGGAAAGCAGGCATGGAAGGGGATGGGAGGCAAGCTGTACCACAGCTTCCCTAGGATCACACTTTAAAAATGGATGCAGAGAAAAGGAAGGTAAGGTATGTAGCATAGCATTGCAAAAGGGGAACGACCCAAGGCTAGGAGTCAGAAGACATGAATTTGAATCTTCTTATACTACTATTTATGTTTCATTTATTTGAAAGGGTGAGAGAGTGAGAGCAAGCAAGAGACAGATCCATCTCCACTCCACAAATACACACAGCGATGTCCAGGATCTCAATTCAAATCTCCCATGTGGGCAGCAGGAACCCAACTACTTGACCCACCACCTGCTCTCTCTCAAGGTGCACATTAGCAGGGAGCAGGAATCAGGAGTGGAGCCAGGACTTGAATCCAGGCAGTCTTAAATGGAATTTGGGCATTCCAAATAGTGTTTTAACCTCCCAATCACTGTCAGATGCTGACACTCTCATACTTTTTGATAGATATAACCTTGGCAAGAAATTTCCTTGAAATCAATGGTTTTATCTGTGATCTAGATAAAATAAAGTTACCCAGTTAACCTCACTGGATTTGTGTGAGCATCAAATGATATCATAAATGTGACAAGGGGTCGAAAACTTGAATAGAGGAGGATACTTCAAAAAGTTTTTGGAGAAAGCTAATAGGCATTTTCCACAAACCCTTTGAAATGCCTTTATAGAGTATGTTTATGAGAGATTAATCTTCAGAGAAAATGGCACACTTACAAATAATTGTGAGGCTTCCAGTTAGTTAAGTGACCCTGGAAGATCACGGTCAGAATAACTCAGCACCTGAGATCTCCCTATTAGAAATACTCTCATTGCCAGTTAGTCTTTAGAATGACTCTATCTTATTCATCCCAGACAAGAATGAGCAGGACTTTTCTCTTTTGCAGGGATGGGAGAGAGGCCTATTATAAGGTCTGGGATTTGAGAGGGTCAGGAGTTTTCAGGAGTTGGACCCTGGAGGTTCTCTAGGGCCCTAGGGATTAGTAGACTAGCTGTGGGCTAAGCCTTGGTTAAAGCCCTTACCTCTTTTTGAAAACTCCATCATGGATCATATCACTTTTGCTTTGCAGTTAGAAAAGGTAGAGGGAGAGATAAAATGTCCCCAAGAGACATAGAGTCAGTACCAGAGGTCTTCTAGGGGAGCAGGGGAGAGGAAATGGACTAGGTATGACCTGAAGTGAGCCCAGCATTGCTTGAGTTTTTCTGAGTAGAGAAATAATAACAATTACTAACATTTATTGAGCACTTACTTTGTGTTGTTCCAAAGCTTTACATAGGAATTCATTTAATCTTCATCTGAACTCTATGAAGTTGAGTTTGTTTGTTTTTTGAGGGGAGGAGAAACAAAAGTTGAAAAGTTAAGGAACTGACCCTGGCCATGTAACTAGAAAGGGGGAGTCTGGACTCATACCTTGTTGGTCTGACTTCAAGGGTGCCCTGAATGCACTGTGAGACCTCAGCAGGGATCCCAGGTTTCTAATCAGAAGGCCTAGGAGTCATCTCATCACTGCCCCTGAATAAGAGAGTGGTCTGTGGCCTGTCATTGTGGGAACTGCCCAGATTGCTTTGGGACACTCTCAAGACCCATATCTACCTTCATGTTGGATTGATATGGCCAACTTCTGACATAGGTAAATCTTGAGTCTAGAAGTGATTTGATATTAGCCCTAGGAGGTTTATCCCCTGTTTCCTGTCCAGTGTAGACCTATTTAAGAAGGAAGGGAGAGAGAGTAGGGGGAGGAAAAGGGAGAGAGGGGGTGGGTGGGAATGACATCAAGCAGGAATGTGCCAGTCAGCGGGGGTAAATTTTCCACTTGGATCTGTGTGGAAACCTGATCCTGTCTCTAATTTTGGTCTCCTTCTCTAACAACCTTTCACCAGATTGGAATTTTTCTGCACCTGTAACACATTTTTAATGTAATAAGTCTAGGAGAAACCAGGTATTATATCATGCTGGGGCCTGTGCTGTGTTTCTAGGAGCAAAGGTAGCCCAGACCCCCGTTTATCCCTATAGGGGATTAGTGTATTAGTCACCCTGTAAAAGCTCAATTTGTTATGATTTTTTTAAAATGTTTCTTTTAGCACTTGCTTATAAAAGGTGAAGAGGGGAGCAACGAATGTCTGTGCTCCCTGCCCCTACCTCCTTCACACATGCACATACTCTCTATCAATTTTCTATGAATTCAAATTCATAAAAATCCAATACACAAGTATTGGCTTGAACCAGTTAGCTTATGTTTGCTATATTGAATTTTGTCTTGGCTAGGGGCAGTGCAAGTCACAAAAAGGTGACATTATTGTATGGGCCACCTGCTCTGTGGGGAATGAAAGTGAGTTAGATAGTAAATTAGTGGTTTATGGTGACCATGAATAGCTACTGAGGCTCAGATTTGGCTTCTTCATGTGTGACTGGGCATTTCCTTCCTTGTTACTCAAGATGAGCTGTCTTTTGGATTTAGGCCATTGGTTGCATGGGGGCTCAATGTAAATGTTTCTCCTAACTTTACCTAACTGGGGAGTTCTATACAGCTCGCCCCCATGAAGAATAAGGAAAGTATAGGAAAGATGGAAGAAAGGTGGGAAGAAGGAAGGGAAAGAGCTAGCAGCCATGGTCACGTAAGAACACATGAGACAGTATGGGACTGGAGAGAGCATGCACTCTCTCCAGGAGGTAACATGGCCTTGTATCCCCAGGCTGCCATCCAGACCAAGAGTCTGTATCTAAGTTGCCTAGATTTTGAATTTTAGTGGCCATTCAATACTCAGGGGAACCTTTTACCTTTGGTTTCATCTTCCATCCCTCACTAAACCCCCAAACCTATCCCAGAACTGGAGGTAGCAGAGCAGAAAGAAGACTGATTGCAGTCAAAGATCACAGCTGAAATGAGCTCTGTCATTTTGTGTGTGCCTAGCACAGATTCAAGTTTTGTGGCACCTGATGCTAATATGTTTTCGGGTACCATTTTTGAGGAAAAGATTATGAATGTGAAATTGCCAGGGTCCCTGCCAGGGCCTGGAAGTGAAAAGCTGACTGACATGAAAGTTTCATTAGCTTCACTAAATCTGCTTGGTGTGTAGCCCTATGTCAGTTGACATCTTTGAGCTCCAGTCATTTCTTTCCTGGGGACTTAATCATGCCTGTCTGTCTCAAGGGAGTATTGTAATGAACAAGCATTTTTTTTTTCAAAATGCCACATATACATGCATGTGCATGTGTGTGTGCATGCACATGTGCACACACATACACATACACACGGTCTAGGAATTCTAGAAATGTGCTATTTATCAAAGTCCATTCAGGTATTGTTTTATTTTTTTTTTATTTTTATTATTTTTTTTTTTTTTGACAGGCAGAGTGGACAGTGAGAGAGAGAGAGACAGAGAGAGAAAGGTCTTCCTTTGCCGTTGGTTCACCCTCCAATGGCCGCCGCTGCAGCCGGCGCACCGCGCTGATCCTGGCAGGAGCCAGGAGCCAGGTGCTTTTCCTGGTCTCCCATGGGGTGCAGGGCCCAAGCACCTGGGCCATCCTCCACTGCACTCCCTGGCCATAGCAGAGAGCTGGCCTGGAAGAGGGGCAACCGGGACAGAATCCGGCGCCCCAACCGGGACTAGAACCCGGTGTGCCGGCGCCGCAAGGTGGAGGATTAGCCTATTGAGCCACGGCGCCGGCTAGGTATTGTTTTAATGCCTTGATAATAATATCTATAGGTTTCCCCCCATTCAGTTATTTGTCCCAGTGTTTCCCATTGGTTTATTGGTCAGGACATCTTCAGGGTGCCCTCTACTGGTTTTGTTGGATGGGTTCCAGATCCAGAGAGTGGTAAATAAAAGCACTTTTGTGTTTCCTATGTGTGGAACAGGAGCAGTCATCTGTCTGGGGACCCTGTCTACCCTGCATTTACAGGTACAAATGGCTCTTGGTCTGTTTCCCTAGAGCCTCAGTAATTGTGTTTTTAAATTCAGATATTATAGGAAATTTTAAAAACTACATACCTGTACAGTTATTAGTAAAATGTCTAAGGCCGTTGGCTCTTCTGGTGTTGACAGAGATTTTCTCTGGCTTTGCAGCTTGGAGATCTGCATCCATTTGCCATTGAAGAATGAATAAAGCATCTCCACCTCTCTAATGGTGACTATGAGTGTGTTTCCATGCCGATCTTTAATGGGCTCATAGTAAACTCTTCCCAGATTGTGTGTTCCCAGCAAGTTCTAGAAAGAAATAGATTCTTGGTGGCTTAGGTGATACTGTGTAAACAAAGCAGCAGAACTACAGCAAGATACTTTTAATAATTATCTCACTTCTCAAAAGCTGTTTTTATTTTTCTTGCATACTTAAACTCAGAATGTGTGGCATCATAGACATGTATTTAACAGAAGCTGAAAGAAAATGTCTTCATCATGAGCCTGCAGAGATTGTAGAAAGAGGCACAAAAATTGTTTTCTTAAGCAAATTCAATATCTGTAAATATCTCTTACCCACATAGAGGCACCAGAACATAAACCTCAGTTACCAGCACTTGAAGAGAATCCCAGATGTTTTAAAGAAAAATGCCTGATATTCCAAGTATGCCATTTGTGAAGTTTTCAAGAGATCTACAGTAAGCTATGAGGTGGGGTTGTTTAAAATGAAGATGTGAATTGACAATGTAGCACATTGTACAGATCCCCCAATGACTGCACAGTGCCTTCAAGGTACTTTAATTGGGAAGTTGGCCTGGTTTGACATATCTGCATTTCAGGGGTTCTGTTTATTTATAAGTGCCTTCAAATTGCTTAAAAACTAGGTCAACTAAGGCAGACAATACTTTTAAAAAGGTAGGAAGGGAAGGATGCCACATTAAATGTGGAGTGGCTCTGATGAGTGTTGCTAAAATAAATATGAGTTTTTCAAATATGCAATGGCTTGAAGATTTCTAACCTAGAGCACTGGATAAATAGGATAAAATTCCCTCTTTAAATATCTATGATTTTTAAAATTATAAATCATCGCAGAGCTCCTAGCTGTTATTTTTGTGAGCTCACATAAATGATGACGAGGTGACCTGCTAGCATGAGAGCAAAAGTAGAACTGGAATTTGTAAAAGTGACAAGGTTGACCTAAAAATGAGTGAGCCATCTGGTCAACATCCACATCTTAGAAAACACTGGAATGTTCCCTCACTGGTAGGGACTGTGTCTTAAGCCTTTTATCCATCCTCACAAAGATCAGACACAAAACAAATAGGGAATTTCATAAATAATTACCAACATATTATAAAAATTCATTTGGCAGCATTATTATTATTTTTAAATGGCCTAATCAGACAGGCTTTTCATTTCCAAAAATTACCTTCTAAATCATAGGTAGTTTTCTAGTCTAGTCCTATGTAGTTTTATAGTTTTACGTGGAGGCAGTTTGTTAATAAGCAGTGCTGTGCTGGTAAGATGGAAAGAAAGAGAAAGAAAGAGGGGGGAAGGAAGAAAGGAGGGAAGGAAGGAGGAGAAGGTGAAGGAAAGGTAGGTGAAAGAAGCAGGGAAAGAGCGGGAGAGAGGGAGGAATAGACCTGATTTGTAGCATATGCCAGTTTCTGTGGTGTAAATACTCATGCCATAGCTGATTTCAAGTTACAAAGGGTTTGACAGGGGACTTCCAGAATTCCTGAGTATTTGACAGTTGGCTCCAACACATCATTCCTATTAGACCTTTATTCACGCAGGTGTTGAGTTTGAGGGCTGGCTGCAGTTACTAACTGTTGAACTTCTGAAAATTAATTAGGCACTCTGGCCCTGAGTTGCATCATCTAAAATTAAAGAGTTCTTACAGTCTGACATCCCTTACACTCTTCTGTATGTTGTGAAGCGTTTGAAGGATTAAATCCAGCAATGCTTGGTTCAGGGTGAGATATGACCTTGCTTTTTTTTTTTCTTTTCAGGCTTTTTATTATGAATTAATTTGTATTTATTCGAGGGGGAGAAACGGGAGAGAGAGGGGGGAGAAGGAGAGAGAGAGAGAGGGAGGGAGGGAGGGAGGGAGGAGAGAGGAGAAAGAGAGAAGAAAAGTAAGAAAGGTTTTTCATCTTCTTATTCACTCTCCAAATGCCTGCACAAATCTGGGTCAGGCTGAAGTCAGGAACCAGAAGTTAAGTCTGGGTCTCCTTATAGGTGGCAGGAACCCAAATATTTAGGCTATCACCTGCTATATCCCATGGTATGTATTAGGAGGAAGCGGGAATTGGAATCAGAGATGGGACTCAAACCTAAGCACTGTGATACGAGATGTTGGAATCCCAAGTTATCTTTTTTAAAAATTTTTAAATTTTACTTTTAATTTTTTTATTTACTTGACAGAGAGAGAGAGACAGAGAGAAAGGTCTTCCTTCCGTTGGTTCACCCCCCAAATGGCCGCCACAGCCGGCGCTGCGCTGATCCGATGCCAGGAGCCAGGTGCTTCTTCCTGGTCTCCCATGTGGGTGCAGGGGCCCAAGGGCCATCCTCCACTGCCCTCCCAGGCCACAGCAGAGAGCTGGACTGGAAGAGGAGCAACCGGGACTAGAACCCAGTGCCCATATGGGATGCTGGCACTGTAGGTGGAGGATTAACCTAGTGAGCCACGGTGCCGGCCCCAAGTTATCTTAATTGCTATGCCAAATGCCTGCTTTGGGTATTGATTTTCTTTACTGCTTTAATAAGAATCCTGTCCTGGCTCACACATAGTTAACTTTCAATACCTAATCCACATTTCACCATTTCTAGGAATTTTCATAACTCTCTTAGGTAGAAATTACCATCTTTTCTTTTGTAACTTAGTGATTCCTGTACAAATTTCTATCTTTGCATGTTCCTGGCATTATTGAATATATTGGGGTTCATATCATGAAATCATGGTTGCTTCATCTCTGTGTCTCTGGGTCCCTGACACTTAGACAGAGTAAGAAATCTGACTTTTGTTGATTGAATTAACATACTATCATCTAGACAGAAAATATGACTTAGTTTGGGCCAAAGCTGATAGCTAGACATTGACTGAAGTGGTTATTTCATTAAAACAGAATTATTCTTGGTTCGCTATTGTATGATCTTTGGGGTACATAGATTGGACCAACAAAATATATTTACTTATCCAAACAGTACTTAACCAAATGAGTGTCTACCATATGGCAGGAATTGACAATATAGTAACCAAGACTGATACTTTCCCTGAACTCAGTAATCATATTCCAAGTGGGTTCTAAGCAGATAATGACATAGATAACTAACTGATGGGGTAATAATCACTGTTCTGAATGCAAAATATAAGATTCTTAGAGTGCTTCTTTTATCAAGTGATCAGAGAAAGGCTCCCTGAGTAATAATAAAAATTAAACTGAGGGCTGGTGCTGCGGCTCAATAGGCTACCCTCCGCCTGCGGTGCCGGCACACCAGGTTCTAGTCCCGGTCGGGGCACCGGATTCTGTCCCAGTTGCCCCTCTTCCAGGCCAGCTCTCTGCTGTGGCCCGGGAAGGCAGTGGAGGATGGCCCAGGTGCTTGGGCCCTGCACCCCATGGGAGACCAGGAGAAGCACCTGGCTCCTGGCTTCGGATAAGCGCGGTGTGCCGGCCGCAGTGTGACGGCCGCGGTAGCCATTGGAGGGTGAACCAACGGCAAAGGAAGACCTTTCTCTCTGTTTTTCTCACTGTCCACTCTGCCTGTCAAAAAAAAAATGATAAAAAAGAAATTAAACTGAGATCTAAAGGATATGCAGGAATTATTTGTGAAGAAGTAGAAGAGAAGTCTAAGCAGAGGAAACTGAGCAAGCAAAGGAGATGGAGAAAGATCAGAAAGCTGGAAGAACATTAGCAGAGTGTGGGAGCATGGAAGCCAAGGGATTTGGAACTTAAGAAAAGGAGGGTGGGACCAAGTGTACCCCAAGGGCAAGATGTCAGTTGCAAAGAGGACTTAGTAAGTGTCCAGTGGATTTATTGACACTGGCCATTGGCAAGATGGATTTGAGTTTTGAAGGCCTGCACCCATGTGGGAGACCTGGAAGAAGCTCCTGACTCCTAACTTTGGCCTGGCCCAGCATGGCCAATTGAGGAGTGAACCAGCAGATGAAGATTCTCTCTCTCTCTCTCTCTCTCTCTCTCTGTCTCTCAGCTCTCAGTCTCTCAGTCTCTCAGTCTCTCAGTCTCTCTCTCTCCCTCTCCTGTATGTATCTCTGCTTTTAGATAGATAGATAGATAGGTAGGTGGATAGATAGATAGATAGATAGATAAAAGTGGGAGAAGAAAGTTTGTTAGCTGAAGGGGCATGTAGGGTCAAGGTAGGAATTTAGAGGGAGGTTCAGTTGGAGAGATGAATTTTAAGTTTGAGATGTGTTGTTTTAAATAAAGATGGGAGGAAGAGATGAAAGAGAACATGCAGAGGGATGAGTCTTGTAGGAATGAGACTTCATATGGTAGTATAGGAGGGAAGAAATATGTGGGGTCAGGGCAAGGAGGATTATGCATTTGGTGGTGGGAAATTATATTTAGTTTCTCCTTTTAAAGACTGGTTGATTTATTTGAAAGGCACAGTGATTGAGGAGAGGAGGAGGGAGAGTGAGAGAGCGAGAGAATATGAATGAGTACGGATGAGTGAATATGAATCTTTTCCATCATCTGGTTCATTCCACAAATGTGTGAAACATTTAGGACTGGGACAGGCTTAAGCCAGGGTTCAGGAACTCCACTGGGGTCTCCTATGTGGGTAGAGGGACTCAGGTACTTAAGCCATACCTGCTACCTGCTAAGGGCATTAGCAAGAAGTCAAGTCAGAAGTGGAGTAGCGTTGAACCAGGCAGGACTTGAAGACTTGAATGCAGGCATCCCAAGCAACAGTTTAACTTGCTGTACCACAAGCCCACCTTCATATTTATTTTCTTTTTTAAAATTAAAAAAAATTTTATTTAAGTTATACAAGTTTCATGTATTTCATATATATAGATTTAGGAACATAGCAATACTTCCCAACCTATCCTCCCTCCCATCCATGCTTCAACTTTTCCTCTTCCCTCTCCCATTCCCATTCTTAATTTTTACAAAGATCTATTTTCAATTTACTTAATGATCATAAAGGTAACCCTACACTAAGTAAAGGAGTTCAAATATTATGAAGAAAGAAACACTGTTCCTCAACAGAAGACAAAGGGCTGTAAACAATCATTGAATCTCAAAAAGTCCTTTTCACTCCAGGACATTACATTTTATGTATTCTATTACCTCAAATCAGGGACAACACATGACATCTGTCTTTTTGGGACTGGCTTATTTTACTAAGTGTAATGATTTCCAGTTGTGTCCATCTTGTTGCAAAAGACAGGATTTCATCTTTTGTTTTTCACAGTTGAATAGTACTCCATAGTGTATATATGCCATAATTTCTTTATCCAGTCAACAGCTGGTGGATATCTGGGCTGACTCCATATTATAGCTATTGTGAATTGTGCTGCAGTGAACATGGGGGTACAGATAACTCTTTGAGATGCTGATTTCTTTTGGTTTGGGTCAATTACCAGGAGTGGTATGGCTGGATCAAATGGTAGGTCTATATTCAGATTTCTGAGGTATCTCCATACTGTCTTCCACAGTGGCTGTACCAGTTTACATTTCCACCAGCAGTGGATTGGGGTACCTTTTCCCCTACATCCTCAACAGCATTTGTTATTTGTTGATTTCTATATGAGAGCCAGTCTAACAGGAGTGAGGGGAAACCTCATTGTGGTTTTGATTTGCATTTTCCTGATGGCTAGTGATCCTGAGCACTTTTTCATGTGTCTGTTGGCCATTTGAATTTCCTTTCTTGAAAAATGCCTGTTCAAGTCCTTTGCCCATTTCTTAACTGGATTGTTTGTTTTGTTATTGTATATTTATTTTCTTAATGAATTATATAATGAAGCCATCACCCAAGATGTGGATGGAGAATGTGAAGAAAGCAAAGAGATATGGGGAAATGAATGGTTTAAATTTTTGCTTTAAAGTGTGGGAAAGCAAACTTAGCAGAGAAATGGGATAGGACCAGCAGGTAACATTCCATGTAAGAACTGTAGTTATGAATTTAACATAATACTTGTCTGCCTGCTTCCATAATTTTTCTGCCACAATATAGAAGTACTCTAGTGTAGATATGTTGGATTTATCCAGGCTTAAGATTTTTTTTTAAGGCTTAAGCTTTTCCAAATAAAAAATATGGATGGAGAAACTTCAGAATATTTTCACGAGTAATTATGATGCACTGAGGAATCTAAGGTGGACCTCAGAAGAGGAATGAGGTATAATGAAAAATAGTGGGCTCAATAGATTTGGAGGTTGAGGAAATCCAAGAAATATTGCAATGGGAGCAGTTGGGTAGGGTCACACTGGCCAAGCTGGTGTCATTCAGTCTCTGGCTGCCCTGGCTTGTAACAGCTTGATCCTTCTCATGTTACTGATACCAGATGAAAGTGTTCTAGGAAGCCTCCAATAAACACATGATAAAGAGCCTGCTTGAAATTCCAAGGTTGTTTAGCCTATAATCCTGGCATGTCTGGGTTGTATGTGGGCTAATAGGAGGGTCCACTAAGGGGTCTGAGCCTCCTGGGGATGTACTTTAGCTTACAGAAAGGGCAGTATGAGGTACAGTGGCATGGTCTAACCTATATGGGTCAGTGATGAAAGCAAGAGGTGCTTTGAATTCAGCACAGTCATCATGGCCTATATCCAAGAACATCTCGAGTTAGAGGAGAAGGTTCTATAATCAGGAATGAGTTGAAATGAGGGGTACTATTTGCTAAAATCTCTGAGGCAACTGAGGACATAGGACACTTCTATGTAAAGGAGTACAGCACAGAGGGATAAATGTTACCTTTCATAATGAATTATAAAAGCAACAGAATAATTATTATTATTACATGAGTTTGAATTGTTATGGCAAGCATTCAAGCAAAGAAGTTCCTATGATTACAGGTAGGGGTTGAACCATAGAAGTATTTTGTTGTCATTATGACCCTATTTTATAACATGGTTGGTATGGTCCAGATTTTCATAGGATCCTGCTATGCACATTTCTGGGGTAGATTTAACTGACAGCTTTGTAGATAAACATCCATCAGTGATAGAGGCTCAGTGATCTCTTGAGAACCCCAACTCCATATAGCAAATGTTTTTCTGTGCTAAGAACCACAAATTCAGGTTATGTAAGAAAACCAGGAAAGGAAAACTAAGTAGAGATTGGTTAGAATTCAATGCCATTTCTGGAGAGAGTTCTGTAATCTACAAAAATGCTTGCAGGGCTTGGGGACTTGGCCTGATTTTACTGATAGAATGGAAGGATGGATACATTTGTGATCACAGGTAAATCATTTACAAATTATTTGTTGTTTTCTTCTTGTTATTTTTATAAATATGCAAAAATATGAGTAGAGGTCTATGTTTTACCAAAATCATCACACCAAGAAACTCCTCAAAACATCTGTCAGGTTCCTCATCTCTGCACACTCAGATGCAGAAGATACCATTTCAACATGGGTTCTTCAAGGGATCTAGTCAAACTCTTTTTACTTTGTAAGTGATTACACCCAGGCCAAGCAGGAGGAATGAGTCAGCTGATTAATATCAAATCTAGAGTTCAAGTTTCCATACTCCTTCATAAGGAGATTACTCACAGACCATTCAAAAGAATCCTCTTTTAGAGCAATGGCCAGAGGCACAGGTTCCTCACGTGAGCAAGTACGCAATGTAAACTGTCCAAGGAACATTCATGTGCCTATGTATCTGAAAGAGGAAAGAGCCCACTCTTTTCCTTTCTAGGTGATTTTGGTAACTGAACTGTCTGACTTAAAAAATCCTTGGAGGTCTGGGTAGAAACCTGGCCCCTCACCTGTAGCTGGACTGTTGCTGCGAGCATCTTCTGCCTAGTTTGCAGCACTGTGGATGAGGACATGGAGATAGGTACGCTTTGCCTTAACCACCTTATGTCTTCCCACATACAAGACAGCTGCAAAAGAAGTCACAAGGTCATATCATCGGCTAAGCCAGTGCATGATTTAGGTTGTGGCATCAAAGCAAAGCAGGGAGAAGGAAACCTGACCCTTGATGTTTGTTCCCCAGTCCATTTTCAGATATACACGAAACAACTTTTTGATCTCTGTCCAATTGGAAAAAGATCTGAATGTTAATGAAACAGTCAGATCCACATTTTAGTCTTTGCCAAATGATCCCATAACTCAGACTAGTGGAGACACAATCTGACAGGATGCAAGCTTCTTTGCTTTGAAAATGCAATGTAGACACTACTTGGGCATTTTTTAATGACATAGGGCATTTAAGGGTGAAAGGGACCTTTGAGATAATTTACTTCCTTTCCAGTACTTTGACAGTACTGGAGACCATTCAACTACGGTTTCAGAGTTTAATATGCAGTAACATTGTAACAAACTGGGGAAAAATGAAATCAGAACTCAGTATACCTTTGTGAACCACAGAAAATCTTGTGTGATGGAACTGGTGTGAGAGTCATCTATTTCAACAATCGGTATTTGATCTTCATTGGTGACCAACATATTGTCTTTGTAATAAAATAAAACAGCTATGTAGAGTCCTCTAAAAAGAAACAAAATGAAAAATTGTCTTTAGCTGTCTCTTCTACCAAGCTTGAGTTATAGCAGAAATTTTTTTGGACTTGATAATGATGAATTTAAAATATATTTAGGAACATTTTCCTTCTAAGTATCTCAAGTTCACTGGCTAAAACTCAGAGAAATTACTATCTTGTCCAGATTTGCAGGTGAAAAGTAAACTTCATTCTTTTAATAACAAAAAAAAATGTCTACCAAGTTTCCACTTCGAACCAGTAACAGCTCATTCCTGAGAAGTTAAAACCTCCTTAAAAGAATAAGTATGACCCACCGTTTTAAAGTCTTCACAAACTTGTTTGAGGAATGGAATAGGTGTTTCAGGCTCCTTGAAACTGATTGCTTGCGGCCTGTGGTTTGTAATTTTGAACTTTCTGGAACATAGAAAAGAAAATACAGTGTAAATTCCACTTGGCAGCTCAACATTCCCAATTCCTTCCTGCCTTTTTTCCCCCTTACCCCTCAATGTCATTTCGGTTTCATATAGGGATTCAGTTCATCCATTCCTATGACAAATTCTTACATTTTGAGATACCAGTGGTTAACTCAGTTGATGAACAACTCCTCAAAAATGTTGGAGATGAGTAATGCTTATAACTCCAAGGGTAAACCACATAGTGTTTTGTTAATCTTCTCAGGATGAGTGCTTTATTATCAGGTGAAATTAGAAGAAATGGAGTCAACTCATTTGACCTCCACCTCTCTATGTTAACTTGCCTTCTTAGTGCTGGCAAAGCTGTCTTTGTTAGTTTACAGATTTATTGTTTTTATTTTTTATTTTAAAATTAATATAAGAATATCACAGAAAATCTAGAGAATAGAAAAAGAACAAAACCCTACCATGTCATTCCTATCTCCTCACTTCTATACAACCAGGGCTTGTGTTTTGGGGCCATTTTCTCCCAGTGTGTATATTGGCTTATACACATTGGTGTAGGAATAGATATGATGAGTATCCTCGTTATTCAAAAGAAGACACTAAAGCTAAGGAGTGAAGTGAATTGTTCAAGATCAAAAAGCTAGTACCTGGAAAAACTGAGGCATTCATGAGTAAATGAATATTGGGACCTTACTATGTATGAGGTTCTGTAGAAATAATGGTAAGCACATTATCCATTGCCTCTGGTCATCTCTGTTTACACAGTAGTAGACATCCTAGACTTCCTGTACCAGTGCTCATGGAGCTGGGTTTAGATGATCTTTGCTTTCAAGTCTTAAATTCTGTGTACTGAAGGGACACTGAGTTTGTTGGTGTCATTACCAGACTTCTGAGAGACATGTTACTGGGCATGAGAACATAGCCCATGTCACTGCTTTTAGCATAGAAACTCAGGCGGATGGCCCACAACAGAGGCCCAGAGTGGACCTGCTTCTGCTGCTATATGAACAGCTGACTGATGTGAACATCCATGCTAATTTCAATCTTGTGCTGATATTGAAAGCAAATTTTTTTTCTGACTTGAACATGAATTTGGCTGTTGAAACTGGTGCTGCTTAGACTTCTGGTTAAATTGCATAGTGAACATATTCATTATTTGTCAGTTTCTTCCTAAAACTCACATCAGAACAGAGATCAGGAGAATAAAAGGAAAGAAAATACATCTATAAAGGCAAATAGATGGGAAAGGAAATGAAAGCAAGTAAATTTTGGTAGCTGGAAAGCAGATGGACAGATGGATTTAACAGACATGAGCAAGATGAAGTCTAAGGCAGCAATGAAGAAGCTGCACAGTAACTTGATGGATTGCTGAAGTGGGAGTAGGGAGAATGGGCAGCTAAATCAGGAGGATTTGTTGAAGTCTGTTTAAAAAGCTGTTAAGGGGCCAGGGGGTGAAATTGCTGCTTGAGATGCCACCTGAGATGCCAGCATCCCATGTGAGAGTGCCAGTTTGAGTCCTGGCTGCTACACTTCTCATCCAGTTTCCTGCTAATGTAGTTGGAAAAGCAGCAGAGGACTGCCCAAGTTCTTGGGCCCCTACCACCCATATGGAAGACTAGGATGTAGTTTCAGGCCCTTAAGCTTTGGCCTGGCTCATTCCTGGTCATTGTAGCACTTTTTTTTAAAAGATAGATCTATCTATCTATCTATCTATCTATCTATCTATCTATTTATTTTGACAGGCAGAGTTAGAGAGAGAGAGAGCGAGAGAGCGAGAGAGAGAGAGAGAGAGAGAGAGAGAAATAAAGGTCTTCCTTCCGTTGGTTCATCCCCCAAATGGCTGGTACAGCTAGCACGCTGAGTTGATCTGAAGCCAGGAGCCAGATGCTTCCTCTTTGTCTCCCATGCGAGTGCAGGGCCCAGGGACCTGGCCCATCCTCTACTGCACTCCTGGGCCACAGCAGAAAGCTGGACTGGAAGAGGAGCAACTGGGACGGAATCCGGCGCCCCAACCGGGACGAGAACCCAGGGTGCCGGTGATACAGGCGGAGGATTAGCCAAGTGAGCCACGGAGCCGGCTATTTATTTATTTGAAAGTCAGAATTACACGTGGAGAGAGAGGAGAGGCAGAGAGAGAGAGGTCTTCCATCCCCGAATTGGCCACAACAGCCGAAGCTGTGCCAATCCGAAGCCAGGAGCTTCCTCCGGGTCTCTCGCATAGGTGCAGGGGCCCAAGGACTTGGGCCATCCTCTACTTGCTTTCTCAGGCCATAGCAGAGAACTGGATCAGAAGAGGAGCAGCTGGGACTAGAACCAGCGCCCATATGGGATGCCGGCGCTTCAGGCCAGGGTGTTAACCCTCTGTGCCACAGCGCCGGCCCCCATTGTAGCCATTTTTTTTAAAAAAAGATTTATTTATTTATTGGAAAGGTAGAGTTACAGAGAGGCAGAGAAAGAGAGAGAGAGAGAGAGAGAGAGGTCTTCCACCTGCTGGTTCACTCCCCAAATGGCTGTAATGGCTGGAACTGGGCTGATACGAAACCGGGAGCTTCTTCTGGGTCTCCCACATGGGCGCAGGGGCCCAAGGATCTGGGTCATATTCACTGCTTTCCTAGGCCACAGCAGAGAGCTGAATTGGAAGTGGAGCAGCTGGGACTCAAACTGGTGCCCATATGGGATGCCAGCACTGCAGGCAGCAGCTTTACCCACTACGCCACAGCGCCAGCTCCCGTTGCAGCCTTTTGGGAGTGAACAAGCAAATGGAGGATCTCTCTCTCTCTCTCTCTTTCTCTGTCTCTCTCTGTCTCTGTCTCTCTGTCACTGTACCTTTCAAAGAAATAAATCTTTTAAAAAGGAATTACCAAGTGCCTTGTAGAACAGACAAAACCAAGGCATTTCACAGTGAAATGTTAGAATGTTGAAGTCAGAAAGAGGCTTAAAATCTTCTTGTGCATGTTGGGGGGGGGGGCAGGGGGAGACAGTTACCATACAGAACCTCAGGAGTCAGAGTGGCATTAGACTCTCAGCCCTGAAAATTCTAGAAGACAGTGAAACAATGCCTTCAAAATCTGAAGGGGAGTGTCATTTCAACTGAGAATTCTTTATCTACATCCTGAGTAAATGTTAAGTAGAATAAAAAACCTCTCTAGACATGAAATGTCTCCAATAACTTGTTCCTAAGTGCTCTCTCAGGAAGCTCCACCTAAGTGAAGGACTCCCCACGAAGGGGCAGACATGGAGTACAAAAGGGAGAAATCCAATATTGGAGAGTGGTAGAAGAGTCCTCAGTGCAGTGTTGGAAAAATGATCTCAGAGTGACAGCTGTGCACTAGGCATGGGAGCAAGCAATAACCCATCTAGTTTGGAGCAGGACAAGAGCTCTACAAGAGGCTTCCTTAAGAAGTTGCAGTTAAGGGGCAGCATTTGGTACAGTGGGTAAGACACTACCTAGGATGACCACGCCCCATATTAGAATGCCTGGGTTTGAGTCCCTGCTCTGCTCCAGATTCCAGCTTCTTGATAATATATACCCTGGGAAGCAGCAGGCAATGGCCCAAGTGTTTGTGTCCCTGCCACTCACATGGGAGACCCAGGTGGAGATTTTGGCTTCTGGCTTAGACCTGGCTGTTGTGGTGATTTCAGGAGATCTGTCTGTGTCTCTTTGCTTTTCAAGTGATAATGATAAAAAAAAGATGTTGTTGAAGCAACACCTAATGTATCTGATTATACTGAAAGAAGACTGATATATTGGAGAATAAAGATTGTTATAACCATGTAGAAAAATGAGCAAACATAATACAATTATTAACTATTGGAAAACAAAAAGCTTTCCAGGAAGGAAACTAAAACAATTTACATTTTCATTATCGAGTAAACAGTAAGTTCTGATGTCAGTGAACTTTCATATAAATATATGAGGAGGATGAGAAGACAGTAATTGTGTGGCACATAGGGGGATGAGGGATGTAGAAAGAGAAATTATCAGTTTCTTCAGTGGGATAATTCCTGAAGTTGAAAAATAATCAAGAATTAGAGATATAACATGTTATTTATAAATATGGAGAAAATACAAGCTAAAAGAGTTAAAGAGATTGCCTTCAGGAGGCAAAATATGGAGGGTAGAGGAATTAATTTTTTGTTAAAAGATAATAAAGTTGGGGGCCTGCGGTGTGGTGCAGCGGGTTAACACCCTGGCCTGAAGCACTGGCATCCCATATGGGCTGCTCCATTTCTGATCCAGCTCTCTGCTATGTCCTGGGAAAACATTAGTAGTGGCCCAAGTCCTTGGACCCCTGCACCTGTGTAAGAAACCTGGAAGAAGCTCCTGGCTCCTGGCTTCAGATCAGTGCATCTCTGGTCATTGCAGCCAACTGGGGAGTGAACCATCGGATGGAAGACCTGTCTCTCTCTCTCTCTCTCTGCCTCTCCTCTCTCTGTGTAATTCTGACTTTCAAATAAATTAATCTAAAAAAAAAAAGATAATGAAGTTGTCAGGGCTGGCGCTGTGGCATCGCTGGTAAAACCATTGCCTGTAGTGCTGGTATCCCATATGGGTGTGGGTTTGAGTTCTGGCTGCTTCACTTCTGATCCATTTCTCTGCTATGGCCTGTGAAGCCAGTGAAAGATGGCCCAAGTCCTTGGGTCCCTGTACCAGCATGAGAGATCCACAGGAGGCTCCTGGCTCCTGGCTTCGGATTGACTCAGTTCCGGCCATTGCAGCCATTTGGGGAGTGAACCAGTGGATGGAGGACACTTTCTCTCTCTCTCTCTCTCTCTCTCTCTCTCTCCCTCTCTTCCCTCTCTCCCTCCCTCCCTCTCTCCCTCTCTCCCTCTCTTTCTCCCCCTACCTCTGCCTTTCTGTAACTCTGCCTTTCAAATAAATAAATCAATCCTTAAAAAAATAATAAATTTGTTTTAAGTACCTCAGTTATTCAATCCTTAGACTGTGCAGTAATTATTGTTTGTGTTTTAAAGATGAGTGAATTACAGAGATTTAGGCAACTTGCCCAAGGTTATACTGCTAGTAAATATGTAGCCTGGATTTTAATTCAGGTCATCTTAAATCTTAATATTCATATGTAAATTAAATAAAAATGGAGATTGAACTAAAAAAAATCAGACTAAAAAAAACAAGAAATGTTACAACCAGTTGGGGTCAGTGCAAGGGTCAGATATTCCTGCTCTCCTTTCTAGGCATGAGGTAGAACTGTATTTCCGGAGCCCTTGTGGGGCCAGGTAACCAGTTCTGGCCAATGAGTTTTGAATGTAAATGGCATTCATAAAGTCTTGCTCATAGTAGACCTTCAAGAGTTTTTTTTCCCCTCTTCTCTTATTGCTGGCAAATATTTCCATGGAGAAGGTGCTAACAGCATAGGAGAGCTCCCGGCTGACCTCTGGCAGATGCTTAGCACAAGGTGCAAAACATATCTGGTTTGGGGTGTGTGTGTGTGATTTGATTCTTGCAGCATGATCAAGCCCATTTTGATGGATACAGGGTCTATATTGCTTTTCTCTTATGAATTACTGTGGCTTCTATGCTGTACTCCTCTGTTGGGTTCAGGGCTTGGAAGCAGATTAATTTTCTGTACTTTGAATACAGTAGTCCCCTAGCTTAAAAGTGCTTCTTAGAGCATAGGGAGTTTATTAGTCAAATAAGCATGTCTAGCACCTGACATACAGTAGGCAAGGTTTGAGTTAATGCTTTGTTTTACAAGTTGAATAATTGGGTGATAATTGAAACTCACCCTTATTAGATATTGCTGTATTGAACACAGTTGACTTTTTTTTATATAATTTAGTCTGTATGCCAGGGCATTAACCTAGTAAACTTAACATCTTTCTTGAGTTTTGATCCCGATACTAAGCATGCCGATTAGCTGTGGCCAGTTCTTTGCCAAACTGCAGGAATTAATGTGGGTTTGGTACCTTCTATATGGGGTTTATGGTATGTTCTATTATTATTTGGAATGTGCTGTATATTTAGTGAGGGCTCATTACATTTATACTTCAATTCTAGGCATATCAGTATCCCCAGTATATAAAGCACTGGGGATAGAGAGTGTTAACATTCTCCATCTGGGAGAGCAATGGAAGAAAAAGATGCTAGGGTGTTCAAGGGACCTGTGTTGTGCTAGGTAAATGTAATCCATTATCTACTTTAATTCTCATAATAACTCTGCAACTTAGGTATTATTATCCTGATTTTCCTGATGAAGATGCTATGGCTCAAGAGGTTAAACTCTTTTCCTAGGTGATACAACTAGTAATTGGTTAAACTGGGATTTGAACTAATTATTTTTTCTGTTGTGAAGTTTACAAGCGTGTGTATCCCCAGTCAACCACATAATACCTGAATATAGTTGATTATTTAAAGAACAATTTTGATATTCTCTGTAAAGCAATACTTATATTATCCTTTATTTATCTTTTTAAATGATGTTAAATCATAGAATCTTTAAAACCAGTCCCATTTTGTGAGAATTTCTTTTACCTCAGCCAGCACTTCCTAAAGTTTGTGACTTTTCTAACTCTGCAAAAAATGTTTTACATATCCATAAAGTTTTCAAAAGGCTGAACTCAATTCACCATGTTTCTTCATTAGCATTTTAACACTCTTGTCTATTTCACATTTCCAAGCGAGGGATGCAGAACTTAACCTCTTACTTGACAACAGAATCTTTTCCAGTTGAGCATCTTATTGCTCCATTGTTCTTTGGAACACACTTGGTGTGTTGTATAAGTCCCCAGAGCACATTTCAATGTAAAAATTATTTCTCTTGTGGTGGGCATTTAGCCTAGTGATTACAGTGCTGGTTAGAACATCCATGTTCTATATCAGAGCACCTGGGTTTGATTCTCCATTCTGGCTCCTGACTCCAGCTTTCTGCTAATGTATCCCTGGGAGACAGGGGTGATAGTAAAATAATTGGTTTTCTGCTAGGAATATGGGAAACCTAGATTGAATTCCTGGCTACTGGTTTCAATCCCCCTGGACATTGTGGGTGTTTGGTGAGTGAAGTGGTGGATAGGGGATCTCTGTTCCTCTGTCTTCTAAATAGATTTTTTTAGTTCTTATTTATTTATTTACTTTTATTTAATAAATATAAATTTCCAAAGTACAACTTTTGGATTATAGTGGCTTTTTCCCCCCATAACCTCCCTCCCACCAGCAACCATCCCATCTCCCACTCCCTCTTCCATCTCATTCATATCAAGATTCATTTTCAATTATCTTTATATACAGAAGATCAATTTAGTATATACTAAGTAAAGATTTCAACAGTCTGCACCCACACAAAAACACAAAGTGTAAAGTACTGTTTGAGTACTAGCTATACCATTAATTCACATTGTACAACACAGTAAGGACAAAGATCCTACATGGGGAGTAAGTACAATGACTCCTGTTGTTGATTTAACAATTGACACTCTTATTTATGGTGTTAGTAATCACTCGAGGCTCTTGTCACGACCTGCCAAGGCTATGGAAGCCTATTGAGTTCACAAACTCCAATCTTATTTCTACAAGGCCATAGTCAAAGTGGAAGTTCTCTCCTTCCTTCAGAGAAAGGTACCTCCTTCTCCTAAATAGATTTTTAAAAATCTCCTTTTTGGAAAGCCCTACCTTATGCTTTACTTAATTCTTCCCTGATAGTGTATACATTTAGGAGAAAAGCACATATATGACAGAAATTGGATGGAAACTATAAAAATAATTAGGCTGTCTGGGCCATCATTTGATTATTAGATAGTAATCTGATAGTCACTGGGAGAATATGTGAATCCTTAGATAATACAACAACAAAATTTCTTCATTTTCATGATTAATCTTAGCTTTCATTGTCTGTTAAAGACTATAAAAAGTGGTTTATGAATTGTGAAGACTCATCTGTCCAATTGTTTTCTTACTCAGCTGCCGCACAGGAACCAGTAGGGAGGGGCACAATGGAGACAGAAGAGAACAGAGTCCAAGTACACCCAGCCTGGTTGAATGAGCCCTGGGTAACGAGGACTTATCTCAGTAAAGTCACACTCGAAGTCTGGGAATGGAATTCTCACTTGGGTCTCCTTTTGCTTCTTCATTGCATGTTTATATCTCCTTATGAACCACTCATTAGAAGAATATTATTGCAAATACTTATCCTCATTTCTAGCTGTAATCAACTTTTCTGAAGGGCTGTGTTTTCATGGCTATAGAGTAATTGGGAAAAACTTTCTGCTAATACCAAGTATAGTTTCTTTATATCTAGCTCATACTCAGCTAGCATCTCTTTAGTTTCAACAGTGGGTTTCGTATCCAGCTGGCTCAGCAGTGCCCTGAATCTAGAAAGCACAATGTAGTTGGAGATCTGATGGGAGCATGGAAAATGAAAACTTTATGGAGGTTTTAATTCTCCAAATAAAACTAAGTGCCTCTTCCACGAATCATTACACAAATCAGAAACCTGACCCTGTCCCATTTGAACAACCCAAGTGTAAGAGAAGTTTTTAAAAGCGTCTTGGAGATTCTCTGCATGCAGTTGGCTAAAGCATAGAGAAGGCATGTTCTATTTTACCCTGAGCAGTAGTATAGAGGAAGATTAGACTTCAGGGTGAGATTAAAATTCAGTGCCCAGTCCTGATGTAAGGGTGGGAGACAAAAATGAGGTGTGGCAGGAAGACTGGGCTTGGAATCAGAAAATCCAGGTTGGAGTCTGGATTCTGTCTTTTCTTGGCATTGTGACCTTCAGCAAGTCACTCAGCCTCAGTGGTAACTGCCAAATTGAGGATGAAAAAGAGATATTGGATGTGAAATTGTATTATAAATATACTATAAATACATATGAAGACTTACTATTGTTTTTATGATTGAGGGATGTTCAAGGAATTTTTCTTGGAGGTGAAATGTTTGAGGGTAAATAACCCCAAAGACCCAACACCACCTAGGACTCTTGTGAAGGGACAATTCAAAGAGAAGAGAAGTAATGCATATGCTATTTTTCTTGTGCTTGTTTCCAAAATGTTACTTATATAAATAATCTGTATATATATATAAATATGTGTGTATACATATATATATACACATATATATGCATGAGAGAATGGGAGGGAAGGAGAAGGAAGTCTCTTCTAAGGGTTAAAGCAAGATAGTGCTGTAAAGTGATTCCAGATGTACAAATATTAATATCTCTTTCTCCCTGATGAATGAGAAGGTATGACCCAGCTAAGAAACTGCTAAAATTACCGGCGCCACAGAGACCTCAGTCGATGGCCCAGTGCAGATTTTTATCCTTACCCCGGCAACTGAAATGCTGATGAAGGGCTCGGACCTGCTGCAGCAGACCTTCCAAAACTTCGCTCTGTCCCTTGTGTCTGGGCTCTCTGTCGTCATAGTCTTTCCAGTCTATTGAACAAGAGAAACAAACAGAGTGAAATTTTAAAGCACAGGAGGCCTCTCCCATGCCCCGCCTCAGGAGCCGGAGTGTTGCTCCTACAACCCACAGGCTCCATGGATGGGCACCCAGCATACGCAGAGCTTGCTTGCAGTGCCAGGGATTTGGTAACTGCCATTGTTCAGAGCCCTATGCAAAATAGTAATTGTGGTTGATTTCTTGTGTTGGGTAGTTTTAAGGCAAGAGAAAATGGTAATGGAAAGCCAAAAGAAAATAGTAAATTTGGGGGTCCAGTCTCCCCTCCCCCATCTGCCCTCAACTTTGCAGCATCTCTTGTCCTAAGTTCCCCTGCCACACTTACAATGTGTACCCCAAGTCTCAAATGGATTTACACGGTAGGAAAGAAAGGGGTGGGAATGTGCAGACTAGATGAGATCCACAGTCCCAATGCTTTTATTGTAGGTTTCACACTTTTGGCCAAATTGACATTTCTTTCCAAGGAAAGAGTCCATGTCAGATGCCAAGAAATGGAAATCTACATTTTGCTGTAATGAATGTCTGCTTTGGTTAGCTGGCACAGCAACCCCTGTACATACTCTGAGCCACCAACCACCCTGTCTGCTCAGTCTCTAAATATACAGTATTAGCTTACATGGCAAATTTAAATTGCAATACCCACTGAGAGTTTTCTCCCCCTTCTATTTTCATTCCATTTGGCTATAATGATATCAAGAGTAATAACCCATATGGGAATAATGTCAAGATTGTAATTCTGCTGTCTCCAGCTTTTGATTTTTTTTAGCAGGTCCATCATTTTACTGTCCATCTCTTCTTCTCTCTGTTTTCTTTGCCCCTGTTTTTCTTTTTTGAACTTTTCAAAAGCAACAACTTTAAGTGCTTTTTCATTGAAATACTTTATCTGGAAAATGCTAGTCATTCTTCCCCAGAAAAACCAGTTAGTTCTCAAGTGTATCTTGGGCTTACAGTCTAGTTGAACAAGTTTCAAATTCCCCCCTTAACAGATTTATTTTAAAATATAGGGTCATCTTCATTAAGAAACCTAAGCAGAAGACATGATAGTTCACCCAAGGTCAGGGTTATAGCACAGTTAGGAGGAACACAGGTTCTGCAGTCAAACAAAGCTGGCTGTACATCCAAGCTCTTGCCTGCTAGCTCAGTGTCTTTAGGCAAGTTACTTAAATTGAAAGGGCCCTGTTCCCTAGCTGGAAAATGATGATGGTATTGACTTTGCAGAACTTTTGTGAGGATTAAATGAGAGGTGTGTTAAGTATCAGATACAATACCTATTGCATATCAAGTATACTACTCTAAATAATGTCTTAAAATGAAGAGAATCCATGATGGAAATACCATTTCTTAACCTGTTAGAAGACTAAAGAAGGCAGGGGGCGCGGGGTCTGAGATTCCTTAATTCTTCTTTCCCTTGCTCCATTATGCTCCCTTCTCTGTTTTACCTTTCTGACGACCGAGGCCCAGAGATAACCATTGCAATTCTATATTTTTCAGCTTGTTGGTGGCATATCCAGGACTACAACGTCATCTCATGACCATCTATATAGAATTCCTTTCATTGCACCATCAACAAGCTATTTTTTTCTTCTGAAAAGGAAAGTCAGACATTTGATTGGAGTTTCTGGGGGGTTGCTTTGTGGTGACCAACTCTGAGAGTTGCAAGGAGCTGGTTTATCTCTGTTCCTGCAGGCAAGAACTGTGACTTAATTTCTCTTTGCTTCAATTTTCTTCTTTGTAATATGGCCCTTTCTAATTTACTTTTAGGTTATTTGAGCTTTAAGAGATTAAGTAAAAGGGCCGGCACTGTGGCATAGTGGATAAAGCTGCTACCTGCAGTGCTGGCATCCCATATGGGCATTGGTTTGGGTCCCAACTGCTCCACTTCCAATCCAGCTCTCTGTTATGGCCTGGGAAAGCAGTGGAAGATGGCCCAAGTCCTTGGGCCCTTGCACCCATGTGGGAGACTCAGAAGAAACTCCTGGTTTTGGATCAGCTCAGCTCCAGCCATTGTGGCCATTTGGGGAATGAACCAGTAGACGGGAAGACCTTTCTCTCTTTCTGCCCCTGCCTCTCTGTAACTCTGCCTTTCAAATAAATAAATAAATAAATATTTTAAAAAAGCTTAAGTAAAGCACCACCCGGGTGCATATGAGATACTCATTAAATCTTAGTGAGAAACTGTGAATAGAAGTGTGATAGGATGGGATAGAGAAGAGTTCTGACTGGGAAATTTGAAAATGTTTAGGGAAATTAACTCCCAGTGGCCTTTAGACTATTTGTAGTGACCCTGCTATCCAAGCACAGTGAAATTCAGTTTGACCTCATGGAGTCCCAAGGGCCAGAGTAAGTTTGTTTTCTTAGTAGGATGAGTGTTCCTGACAAGATAAGCAAGCCTGGGTGCTTGAGGAAGATTCCTGAGTGGCTGAATTCCTATGTGGCCCTGAACATGCTAATACAGTCTACTGAGCATTAATTCTGCTGTTCAATGCAAAGGTAGATGAAATGGGTCTGACTCTTTGAGCTGATCCCTATTACATCAGAGGTGGGTTTGATCTGATGACTTTATGATACATTAGAAAATTACTGATGCTAAATTGCAGCCCAAGTGAGCACTGGACAGAATGCCAAGGTTTTTAGAAAGAATGAGTTTTTCACATAGATGTTTGGAAGGTTCTGGCGACTACATAAAATAGACTTAGGTATGAGGAAGAAAATTGAAAATATATTAAGAAATCAGGAACTTGATAGGAATAAACTGGGCATGGCAAGAAAAGAGCAGGTTTTGCCATATAATGCAGTTCACTGTTGTGGTACTGAGACACTTCTACATTGCTACACAATGTAGAACTTATATTCACAGGCAGTATCAGGGTTTTCCTCGTAACTCACAAAAGCCTGTCTGGGTCCTTTTCTCTTATTTGTACCGTACTATATAACCTAAGTCTATAAAAACACATTAAGACCTTTTGTAAAAATATAAAAAAAGTTTTATAGCTTACTGGAACATATTACTAAATTTCCAATTACTCTGTCATGTTAGGATTCATTATCCTCTAGTAAATACCTGGATACTGGGTGGTTACATCACCATGTCATACTCTGTTTATAAATAGAACAAGAGCATTTTTAGATTGTTCTCTCCAAGTAATATGGCCTTGTCTATAGCAACTATAACTACATATTAGGATTTCAGTTTTTTGGCCTGTTACTCTTCCGAATCAAACAGCATTATAGAAATGTTCAAATCAACATTGGAAATGTTAATTAACAAGTAATAAGTGATTCCTCCCAGTCTTGAATAATTGGTTTTATCATTTTAGAGACAGCAGTCTTCAAATGCACTGTCTCAAACATCCAACTTTTGTATGTTTACGCACCCGTGTGTAGATCCATATTTACATGGAGTATGCATTTGGAGGGAGTGCCCTCCTGTGTCACTTACAGATCCACCAAGTCTGGTATTTTTTTCTTTCTCCATCTACAATGCACACTTTTCTCTGACTCCATTTATCCCTGAATGAGAGTGATTCCCTTAGTATCTTAACCTTGCAATTCCCAGTGTGTCTAATAAACCTCCAATAAGAAAGAATATTGGAGAAACCCTACAAGACATTGGGACAGGTAAAGAGTTCTTGGAAAAGACCCGAGAGGCACAGGCATTTGAAGCCAAAATTAACAAATGGGATTACATCAAATTGAGAAGCTTCTGTACTGCAAAAGAAACACTCAGGAAAATGGAGAGGCAACTGACAGAACTGGACAAATTATTTGCAAACAATGTAGTTGATAAAGGATTAATAAAGGATTAATAACCAGATGATATAAAGAGATCAAGGAACTCCACAAAAACAAAACAAACAACTTAGTGAAGAAATGGGCAAAGGACTTAAATGGACATTTTTCAAAAGAGGAAATCCATATGGACAAAAGACATATGAAAAAATGTTCAGGATCACTAGCCACCAGGATATGCAAATCAAAACTACAATGACGTTCCACCTCACCCCAGTTAGGATGGCTCTCATACAGAAATCAACAAACAACAAGTGCTGACAAGGATGTGGGGAAAAAGGTACCTTAATCCACTGTTGGTGAGAGTGTAACCTGGTAAGACCACTATGGAAGTCAGTTTGGATATACTTCAGAAATCTGAATATGACCCCTGGGAATTTACCCAATGGAAATGAAATCAAATAAAAGAGTTATCTGCACCCCCATGTACATTGCAGCTCAGTTCACAATAGCTAAGACATGGAATCAATTTAATGCCTATCAACTGAAGACTGGATGAAGAAATTATGGGGATATGTACTCTATGGAATACTACACAGTAGTAAAAAAATAAAAATAAATCTTGTCATTTGCAACAAAATGAGTGAATCCGGAAAACATCATACTTAGTGAATTAAGACTGTCCCAAAGGGACAAATACCATATGTTCTCCCTGATCTGTGATAACTAATAGAGCACCTAAAAGGCAATCTGTAGAAGTGAAATTGACATTTTGAGAAGCAGTGACTTGAACAGCCCTTGTCTAGACTGTTGAGGAACATTTTTTTTTCTTGATGGAGAGGGACTTGGAATGGGAGAGTGGGGTGGGAAGGTTGGTGTGGTGAGAAGATCACTGTATTCCTAAAGTTGTACTTAAGAAATCTGTAATCATTAAATAAAAGGTTTCTTATGGGGAAAAAAAAGAATAAGTCTAAAGCCAGTTGAAAGAGAGAGAGAGAGAGAGAGAGAGAGGAAGAGGAGGGAGAGGGAGAGAGAGAGGGAGAGAGGGAGGGAGGGTGTCCAAGTAAGACTAAATCATCAAATTCGGGGGGAGACAGAGGCCTTGGAACTCTCTAGAAGCACTGGTGGTCCAAGGCCATGTATGATATATGATATAGGATAGCAATCTGAATCCACCAGAGGTGGCAGCCAGGCATGGTGAGTGGTTCTTAGTCTCCTTGTCTGCCTGATAGCAGAGCATTGATTACCGTAGTATAGGAGACAAGGCAGGGCCTTGACCAGTGCAGGTGTGAATCCTAGCTTAGCCATGTAGCAGAGTTAAGACCCTGGATAGGGCACCATCCTCTCAGATGTTGGCCCACATATATAGGTGCCTCTATGCTAATAGTTTCCTCATTAGTAAAATGGGTCCAATAGTAAAAACCATGTCAAGATGAGTTACATAGATTCAACAAGTGAATCCATGTAAAGTACTTAGATTAATGCCTTTCATATAAGATCATATGAATAGTGTCTCTGATTTTATTATGAGGCAGTGATAATGACAGTGATACTTATCCATAGACAGAAATATCACAGAGGGCTGCTGTGAGGAGCAAGAGAGATACTGACTGTGAAAGTTCTTCCTGTGCTGCCAGAGTCATAGTTGGTCTTGGGCAGAGTATTGTAAAACTTCAAAAATACACAAACATGTTACAAAGAATAAAAGAGCTCATGATTTCCTAATTCAAATGTCTACTGTTAAATGTTGGTTGTTAAGACACATGGACACACTCCACCTAATTACTGGCAAACCTACAGTTTCAATGCTTTGTGGGGAAGAAGAATCCATGGTTTGCATTATTATTTTTTTTTAATGTAAAACTTATCCTGCAGGATTTCTTCTGTGCAGTGAATGGTTTTTTAGAACACCATTTTTAGTTGTTGTATTCTGTCCTGTAGTATGAATATGAATGTACTTTACTTAACCCTTCCATTGTGTTGCTCTGCTCACCACACATGCTATTTTGTTGTTACCGATACTCTGTTGCAGTGCTTATATATGTACATAATGTTTTGTATCCTATTTCCTCAGGTTAGAGTCTTAGATGTGTAATGATGGGGTAGAATGAAATTTTTTTTTCTCAAGGCAGTTGATATGATATGGCAAATTGTGTTCCATAAAGGATGTAGCAGTTTGGTCTCTAACAAGAAGCATTTTTTTCACTATCATGTTGGTGACTTTTTAAAAAGAAAATGAAAGTGGACTTCAGACCATGGGCTCATTTCAATGAAAAATCTATAATGTGGTATGTGTCTTGGAGGTATGTGTTCTAATTAATTAAATTTCCTGGTTAATAAAGAGTTACCAACATGTCAGGGTAAGTTATTAATCTAGACAATTAGAAGCCTTGGCTGGGTTTCTTGGCCTACACTACTACAAATGTTACAAGTTGTCATTTGTAGCAGAGTGCCTGTTAGCAAGGAAGCTGTCCTTCTGACAGAAGGTCAATAAGCAAGATTTGTTAGCTTTCCTTGCCTTAAGGACCCATGATGTCAGTGTGTCTGCTGTGTGAGGAAGAGGAGATGAGAACTGAAGTGGACCGTGTGTTCCCTGGGCTAGCCACTCCCACAGTGTCATCTCACTCCGTTGCCTCAAAAGCCGCTTGAAAGGGTATGATTAGACCCACTCTACAGATGTTGAATTGAGGCTCAGAGTTTAACTTTCAAAGGCCATACAACTGGTGAAATATACAAAGAATACCACATTTAGTCTTTCAGTTTCCAAATTCTCTTTCCTTTAACTCCACTGAGCTGCTTCCCCAGGAACAATTCTGCAGAGGAATCATTCATTATGTGGCCCAGATGTGTCCCTGAGATCTTGTTGGACAAAAAGCAGTGGGAGAAGGGAAAGACAATGGCACCCTGAGGATGAAGTTGGCCTAGCAGCCTATTGCCGTGCTGGAGAGAGTTCACAGCCACCACCTACTAGAAGGAGAGGCATATGCCGGTGTCGTGGTCTGAGCAGGTCCCCATCCTTTCATGTTGTAAGCTGAGACTTGAACAAAGTACTGTTGGCCCTGTGGAGGATGGAAATAATGATGCATCAGGCATTTTCTTTGAATTACTTTTTTGCCCAGCAAATGTCTATATCTGATGAACTCATTCATCCTTTTGGAATTCTACTGTCATACTTTATCTTTCTGGCTTTTTTTTTACTATTACATTTATATTTTATAGTACACACATTTGAAGTGCACTCTTAGTTTATATATACCTTTTTTTTTTGCAATCAGAATATCACAATTACTTTTTCTGACCCCTTCAAAAAATTACATACCAATATTTAAAAGTCACACAGTTCCACAAGATTTACCCAGAACAGCAATTCTCTGTCCTCGCCTTTTTCTACTTATTTTCCTGTCTTCAGAAGGAACAGTCATTTTCTATTTTAGTTGGTCAGCATTATTTAGAAAAGTAACAGGTTATTTTCAGATTAGTTCCTTAAAGACCTGATTCATTTTGTCTATTTGAAAGGTAGAGAGACAGAATTAATATCTTCTATTTACTGGTTCTCTCCCCAAAGGCCTGCAGTAGCTGGTGCTAGACCAGTCTGAAGCCATGAACTGGGAACTCAATCTGAATCTCCCACATGGCTAGCAGGGAATCCAATTACTTGAACCATCACCTGCTCCTCCCTGGGTAAGCATTAGCAGGAACATAGAATTTTAGGAGTGCAGCCAGGACTCAAACCCAGGCACTCCAACATGTAATGCAGGCATCCCAAATGGCATCTCACCCAGGGCCAAATGCCCACCCTAAGGTCTGCTTCATAGTTCTTCACTGTGAGCAGAGCCTTCATTGGTGGACAATTAGATTTTTGCACATTTTGTGCCACAATAGATAATGTTGTGATAAATGTCCTTTACTGAGCTGTTTAGATATTTTTAAATGAACTCTTAGAAGAGGCTTCAATTTTAAAGTCATTATTAAAATATTGGATTATATTCTTCAAATGTCTTTATGGCATTAACAATTAAGGAATTGTGTTTGCTCATAATCTTTTAAAATGTTGTGTGGTTTTATATTTTGCTTTGAGCACTTTTTTGTTTGATAAACGTAAAGGGGCATTTGAGAAACCAACATTTGATGAAACAGTGCTTGCAAAAGTTATAAAATGGTGTTTGAAGTTAAGCATGTGATTATAGAGGGGAATGAAATTATGTCTTTGCAAAAATTAAAGGAAAAAAAGGAAGTAAGGGGATTGAGAGAAGTATACTTACCATGTTAGAACTGTACCTATGACATATCTGAAATCTGTACTCTTTATATTAATAAAAATTAAAAAGTAGAATTTTTAAAACCTTTTTTTAGGGATTTAATAATATTGGCCTTACAATATTGTGAGTTATTTTTTTTACATTTAAAATGGGTTTTTATGCACCTCAAAGTTATAGAGAGTGTGTAGGAGTATAAATCTACTTCCAGGCTTTTATATGATTAAGAATAACTTCTGCCTTGCTCTCATTGGATGGTTAAGTGGAACAACTTAATCCACATAGAAATTAATTCAGATATTAGAGCAAGTCTAGATGGAGAATTTTTCATTTTTATCACCATATCAGTTTTTCTTTTAAGCAATGGAAACTCCCCAGGGTTCCTTCTGGCCCTCTTCCACTCTGTGAGCCAAGTGGTTGGCATCAGTCCTCTGCTGATAGCATCTCTGGGGGCCACCCACCCAGGGATTTGTTTGCTCTGGTAATCCATAGTTCTGGTCCCTGGTGTAGATATGCGATTAGGACTGAAAGTCAGGATTCTGTGGTGGTGACCCAACCACCAAGAATTCTATTAGACGACACCAGTTCAAACTTAAAAAGATGCAGCCTCATACAGTTTTAAATACTTGGATTTCACTATTATATTGTACAAACAACTGTTTTAATTGACTAACTTTTAAGAAAACAACAAAATGACCTGTCTACCTCTCCTAAATAAAAACCCTAAGATAATTATTTCAACTGGGCCAAAAATATGAAAGTTGACCTTAAAAAGATTTTGTTAAATTTTTTTATTTATCTTCTGCATTTTAATTATTTGAAGAAACACAGGGTTTGTTTCAGTTTGAACTGATTGTTAGATGTTTTTATTTTTTGCATTTCGTTTACTTGCATGGTACATAGTTCCATAATAATTAATGCTTGAGTTTAGATTGGTTAACAAATAAGCATGGCTGCTTCCAGTTTTTCATTCACAGTTTAAATTGGTTTAGGTTATTAAGACATGCATCTCTACCATGCATAGCTTTTTTCTTGTAGAGCAGATTTAATTTTTTTTTTTTTTAATGGAGGGGAAAAGATTTCTCTCAGGAAATTGTGTGACTCTGATTGATGACTGATCTCAGCTGAGGCTGTGGGGGTGAGGGCTAGACGGGGCTGCTATTTTTACCATCAGACAGGGAGTCAAAATTGGATCTCTCAGAGCCTTTGATCCCCCTGAAGATTAGATTGTGATCCAGAAAGCAGCAGCTTTCAAGGCTTGCAGGAGGCCAAGCTTTTTCTGATCTCCTTAGAACATGGCAGCTTACAAAGTGGTTCATGCTGTTTACTTACTCCTTTGTGAAATTCAGATTATGTATACCAGACATATCATGCTTAATGAGTGGCAGTTGTTAGCAGAGACTGGTGTGGTTGGCTGTGGTTTCCAGAGTAGGCATCTGCTGCCAACATCTCAACACAACATCAGTGATAGGGTAATGGGGGCAGTGGGGGAGTGTCTATTGCAGGGTCATTTACCATTGTCAGTCCTGTGATCGTGCATCTTAGGGTCTGCAGGTTATCCATGACAAGTTCTCCAGCCAGTGGAGAAAAGTCTTTAGATGTGCTCCATTCCACTGGAAGGACAGGGAGGGAGAAAGAGAGAGAGAGGGAGGTAAAAATTTAGTCTGGTATCAAGAAGCACCCTGGAAACTCTAGATTATAATCCATCTCAAAAACATTAAGTTTGTTCCCCTTGTCCTTACATTGGCATATCTAACCATCTTCCTTGGGATGTCAAGTTAGATTCCAAGTTTAGAATTTTTATTAAAGATTTATTTATTTATTTGAAGGAGTTAGAGGCAGAGATGGAGAAAAGTCTTCCATCTGCTGGCTCATTCACCAAGTAACTACAGTGGCCAGGTCTGAGCCAGGCCAAAGCCAGGTGCTGTGTTCAGGTCTCCCATGTGGTGGCAGGGGCTAAGTACTTGGGCCATTTTCCCAGGCTGTTAGCAGGGAGTTGGATTGGAAATGGAACAGCTGGGACACGAACCAGCATCTGTAGGGGATGCCGTCATCATAGGTAGTGGCTTTACTTGGCTATGCCACAACTCTGGCCCCTGCAATTAATTTTTTTAAAGAGCAGAAGGAAAGAAGTAATTCAATCTTGGTTGATACACCTTAAGTGGTTTTTGAACCTTGGCAGAGATAATGCATATTGTAATATGTACATTATGTGATATTTTTAGTGTGACACATAATTTATATTAAACTGTCACATGTCACTTAATGACAAGGATACCCTCTGAGAAATGTGGTGTTAGGTGATTTCATCATTGTGGGAACATCATGGGTGTGCTTAATACAAACTAAGCCAGTCTAGACATCTCTAGATGATATAATTTTTTATATGAAAGGCAGAGTTACAGAGAGGCAGAGGCAGAGAGAGAGAGAGAGAGAGAGAGAGAGAGAGAGAGGCTTCCATCCACTGGTTCACTCTCCAAATGGCTGCAGTGGCCAGAGCTGGGCTTAATTTGAAGCCAGGAACCAGGAGCTTCTTTCAGCTCTCTCAAGTGGGTGCAGGGGCCCAAGGACTTGGGCCATCTACTGCTTTCCCAGACCATGGCAGAGAGCTGGATCAGAAATGGAGCAGCCGGGACTTGAACCAGCACCCATATGGGATGCCAGCACTGCCCATGGTGGCTTTACCCGCTGTATCACAGCGCTGACCCCAGTGATATAATCTTATGAGACTGACATCATGTATGTAGTCTGTCCTTGACTAAAACACTTTACTGGGGCCAGCACTGTGGCACAGCAGGTTAAAGCCCCGGCCTGCAGTGCCAGCATCCCACTTCTGATCCAGCTCTCTGCTGTGGCCTGGGAAAGCAGTAGAAGATGGCCCAAGTCCTTGGGCCCCTGTACCCATATGGGAGACCCGAAAGAGGCTCCTGGCTCCTGGCTTCGGATCAGCTCAGCTCTGGCCGTTGCAGTCATTTGGAGAGTGAACCAGCAGATGGAAGACCTCTCTCTCTCTGGCTCTACCTCTCTCTGTAACACTTTCAAATAAATAAAATAAATCTTTAAAAAAATACTATGCAGCAGATGATTGAATAGTATGGCCCTGAGGCCATTGCTGTATAAAGGTACCCAGGCACTTTATATGTAATAGTTTGTTGCATATAGAAGATAAATAGTTTACTGCATGTGAGATACAAAGGGCTCAGTAGGACATTCTGTTCTGTTCACTCCGCAAGTGTGGCTTCTGCTTCATCATTCTACTGAAAATGCCCTTTCAAGGTCCCACTGACATTCTCATCCCCACAAGGAAGTCTTCTGGAATTTCTTCCCAGTCATTTGACACCTTCTCCTTGGGGAAACATTTTCTTCCTTTAATGTCTTTGAGCCTGCTCCCTTTTTTCTCTTCTTATCCCCAGTAGTTTCTTCTAAGCTTTTTCATTGGTTTCTCTTCAGCTGTAGGTTCTGGAGTCTATGGCCAACCTGATCAATGCCTTTCTTCCCTGACATCCCCAAGGTGGATGTCATTCACAGTTCAGTCATCCTGATTCCAGCACTGCATTGTCCTGTGAAATCATTCTTTCATGACATTTTCCATTGGTTGAGAAAGCCATGATCAGGGAAGATAAATTGCATCATTAGTAAAGGTATCTTAAGTATCGTGCACATGTGGCAGGATTTGAGACAAACTGAAAAGAATCAGGGGCTTATGGAGCTTAAGTCATACAGAAACCAGTGCCTCCATGTTTTTAAACTTCATGATGACAACAGAAGGACCTGAAGTTTTAAGCTGTATTTTCCCTTTGGCACTTCACTTTAATACTTCAAAATCAAACCAGACCACTGCCACCCCGCTGGTCCTCCTGAAGCACTTGCAGTCAGAGCTGCTGTCCTTCCTTTTACTCCTGAGACTCCAACTTGCTATCTCCACTTTCCTGATATCTGCTCTGATCGGTGACAGCAGCCTCTCCTTGGGAATTCTTGCCATTTTCGGCCTCTTCAACGTTCTTCTGCAACCATCCCCTGGCTTTGGACACACACTTTAGCATCTACCATTTTGGCTATCTGTTTTTTAGGCTCTTCCTTCTCATCTCCTTTGATGTGATATTCCTTGATAGAGTGGTTTTTGTCCCTTTTTTTAGCCACATTTTCCCCTGGTGTTGACTTTATCTACTTTCATGGACACTCTGATTGTTGTTGTAGCCTTCCTCTTGAGCCTTAATTCCTCCTATAGGTTTCCACTCAACTGTCTTCCACACTACTTGAATGTTCCTTAAGTACTTCCTGTTTTTTCCAAAATATGCTTCTTCTCCAGCTTTCTCAGCTTTTAGCTAGGCATACCCAACTAACAATCTAGCCACATCCTTGCCTCCTTTTCCTGTAATTCCTCATCATCAGTTGGTCACCAAATCCAGTAGTTGCCACTTTTTAAAAATATTCATTTATTTGAGAGAGCTGTATACTGAAAGAGGGAGAAACAGGGAAAGGTTTTCCATTTGCTGGTTCACTCCCCAAGTGGTTGGAATAGCTAGAGTGGGGCGATCTGAAGCCAGGAGCCAGGAGCTTCTGGGTCTTCCATGAGAAGACTTGGGCCATCTTCTACTGCTTTACCAGGCCATAGCAGAGAGCTGGATTGGAAGTGGAGCAGCCGGGACTTGAGTTGGCATCCATATGGAATGCTGGCAACGCAGGTGGAGGCTTAGCCCACTACGCCACAGCACCAGCCTCTGCCACTTTTCAAATGCCCCCCGCTAGTTTCCTTTTCTCCTTCACATGGCAATTACCCTAGTACATGAATATGAACATCAACTCTGCCATAGGTTCCTAATTGATTTTTCTGCTTGTCTCTTCATTCTTACATACAGTCTAACTATGATGGCCTGAACTGTCATTTAAAAATGCAGATATTTGGTTTTCATTTTTCTATCTAAAATCTTTTCATAGTGTCCAGGTGTTTTGAGAATGTTAAGGAACATTCAAGTAGTGTGGAAGACAGTTGAGAATAAAATAAAATCTTCACAAGGCATTCATGGACCTTCATATCTTGTGCCTACCCTATGCCACTATCCTTATCTCCTGCTGTTTGCCAGAAGCAAGTCTTTCTTCTATAGGTCCCTGCCACTTGATTCTTAGGTGTACTTTTCTACATCTCTGCCTTTTGTTCATCTTCCAGTGTTTGCGTGATGAAACTCTACCAATCCTTTATCACCTAGCAAAATCAGCTCTAAATTTCTTAGGAATAATTAAATATTAAATTAAATAATTAAGGATACCTGTTTTTGTGTTCTCAAAGCTCCCAAAGCAGGGAAAAATGTCCCCCCCTTTTTAAAAAATTATTTATTTCAAAGAATTAGAGAGAGGGAGACAGCAAGAGTGAGAGCGCGAGAGAGAGATCAATTCACGTAGAGAAGAAAGGAGCTCTGATTATTTATGTAGTGAGGAGGGAAACAAGCTGAGCAGAAATCATTTTGAGAGCAACTGAAAATTCTAGGAAGGCAGCTAACCATGGCCTCTTAGCAAAGTTGTATGTAGATTGTTTATAGACTTGATAATTAAAGCTCTGAGAAAGTCACTTAGAAGCACGCTGCGAATCCCTGAAGAGCGGGAGCCATGTATATGAACTGTAAAACTATATAAAACTTATAATTTTAAGATAATGATCAGAGAAACTGTTTCTACTTAGGTTTGGGAAGTAGCAGGGTTTAATCACACAGTGGCTTGAAGCAGCTGACAACTAGCAAGAAAGATACCAGACAAAACCAAGGTATTCATGTTCCTGAAAATTTGGCTCTGGCTGAAATTGTGATTCACTGTATTCCTGCCTAGTAGCTATGGATGTTTAAAATTGAGTGCTTTGTTATTTTACAAATACTTAATATTTATCCAAGCTTCAAAAATGTGGATTCACTTGGGCAGTGCTATGGTTTGTGAGTTGTTCATTCCTTGCTAAAACTCAGGTTAAAACCAATATAATAGTGCCGACAGGTGGTAGAGCCTTTAAGAGGTGATTAGGTCATTAAGAAGGATTAATGCTTTCCTCCTGGGAGTAGATTACTCCCCATGGGACTAGATTAGTTACCACCAGAGTAGAGGCTTGCAAAGTGAGGCTGACTCTTGGGTTTTGTGTCATCCACACCCTCCCATTTGACTTTCCACTTGGTGCAGTGAGTTGAAACAGCACAGGGCCCTTACCGGCATCATGCTCATGAACTCTCCAGCCTCCAGAGCTGTGAACCAAAAGAAACCTCTTTCCTTCATAAGTTTTTCAGTCTGGAGTATTTTGTTATAGTGTCAGAAAATGAACTGAAACAAATCTATCTGAACAACAGCATTCCCTGATAGCAGCTATATAAAGCACAGGCCAAATACTGAAGAAGAAAAACAGCTGCATCAAGGTCTGGCCAAATCATGTGAAGTCCATAATGTGATGGAAAATGTCACAAAATCAGTGGCAAGAGTAGAAAATGCACATCTCGAAGTGCTCAGGTGCACAAGCAGAGAATATAGTTTAAAGCTCAGGTAAGCAACAAACCTCATGGTGCAGACTGGGATTCACACAATCTATTTTAGTATTAATACTCTTAAGTTACAGGACATCTTTTTGAGAGGTGAAGACTAT